TGCAGGAGCGTGGGTGAGTTTGTGTGAGGCGGGTGATGTAGAGCTTGTCCTTTCAGCAGGAGCGTGGGTGAGTTAGTGCTGTGAGATGCGGGTGAGTTAGAGCTTGTCCTTTCAGCAGGAGCGTGGGTGAGTTAGTGCTCTGCGATGCGGGTATGTTAGAGCTTGTCCGTTCAGCAGGAGCGTGGGTGAGTTGTGCTCTGCGATGCGGGTGAGTTAGAGCTTGTCCTTTCAGCAGGAGAGTGGGTGAGTTGGTGCTGTGAGGTGGGGTGAGTTAGAGCTGTCCTATCACAGGAGCGTGGTGAGTTAGTGCTCTGAGATGCTGGTCAGTTAGAGCTTGTTCTTTCAGCAGGAGCGTAGGTGAGTTACCGATGTCGTAGGACATGGATTCATTTTGACGTTAGACTACTTTTGAGGTCTGGAAACATTGGGATAAACTTTCATTTTGGAGTGAAATGTCCCTTCATCATTGCTTAGGTAGATCACAAAGGACAATTATTAGTCAGATTGTTGAGATGCAAGCTATGTAGAGGCCAATGTAAATTAGCGGTTGGGAATGTGATTATCTCAGGGGCAGAATACTATGACATATGGGCCTGTAATTAGGGTACATTGTACTTGTGTGTACTCACTTTTGTGCTACCCTGCAGTTAGAGAAGACAAGGAGGATCCAATGGAGGACGAGGAGACAATTCTCAGGAAGATGCGTCGGCTGACTGACTACTATGACATCCACAAGGAAATCGGGAGGTGAGGCACCAGTTTGTAAATAAAGCTAGGAAGAAGAAAATATATATATATATACAGTACCAGTCAAAAGTTTGGACACACCTACACATTCAAGGGTTTTTCTTTATTTTTACTATTTTCTACATTGTAGAATAATAGTGAAGACATCACAAACTATGAAATAACACATATGGAATCATGTAGTAACAAATAAAGTTTTACACAAATCAAAATATATTATAGATTTTAGATTCTTCAAAGTAGCCACCCTTTGCCTTGATGACAGCTTTACACACTCTTGGCATTCTCTCAACCAGCTTCATGAGGAATGCTTTTCCAACAGTCTTGAAGGAGTTCCCATATATGCTGAGCACTTGTTGGCTGCTTTTCCTTCACTCTGCAGTCCAACTCATCCCAAACCATGTCAATTGGGTTAAGGTTGGGTGATTGTGGAGGCCAGGTCATCTGATGCAGCACTCCATCACTCTCCTTCTTGGTCAAATAGCCCTTACACAGCCTGGAGGTGTTTTAGGTCATTGTCCTGTTTAAAAACAAATGATTGTCCCACTAAGCGCAAACCAGATGGGATGGTGTATCGCTGCAGAATGCTGTGGTAGCCATGCTGGTTAAGTGTGCCTTGAATTCTAAATAAATCACAGACAGTGTCACCAGCAAGGCACCATCACACCTCCTCCTCCATGCTTTACGGTGGGAACCACACATGCAGAGAACATCCGTTCACCTACTCTGCGTCTCACAAAGATACGGTGGTTGGAATAAAAAATCTCAAATTTGGACTCATCAGACCAAAGGACAGATTTCCACCGGTCTAATGTCCATTGCTCGTGTTTCTTGGCCCAAGCAAGTCTCTTCTTATTATTGGTGTCCTTTAGTAGTAGTTTCTTTGCAGCAATTCGACCATGAAGGACTGATTCACGCAATCTCCTCTGAACAGTGAATGTTTAGATGTGTCTGTTACTTGAACTCTGTGAAGCATTTATTTGGGCTGCAATCTGAGGTGCAGTTAACTCTAATGAACTTATCCTCTGCAACAGAGGTAAACTCTGGGTCTTCCTTTCCTGTGGCGGTCGTCATGAGAGCAAGTTTCATCATAGCGCTTGATGGTTTTTGCGACTGCACTTGTAGAAACTTTCAAAGTTCTTGAATTTTCCGTATTGACTGACCTTCATGTCATGATGTAATGATGGACTGTCGTTTCTCTTTGCTTATTTGAGCTGTTCTAGCCATAATATGGACTGGGTCTTTTATTAAATATGGCTATCTTCTGTATACCACCCTTACCTTTTCACAACACAACTGATTGGCTCAAACACATTAAGAAGTAAAGAAATTCCACAAATTAACGTTTAACAAGGCACACTTTTTATTAAAATGCATTCTAGATGACTACCTCATGAAGCTGGTTGAGAGAATGTCAAGAGTGTGCAAAGCTGTCATCAAGGCAAAGGGTGGCTACTTTGAAGAATCTCAAATATAGTAGGCCCCTGTAGCTCAGTTGGTAGAGCATGGAGCTTGCAACGCCAGGGTTGTGGGTTCGTTTCCCACGGGGGGCTCAGTATGAAAATGTATGCACTCACTAACTGTAAGTCGCTCTGGAAAAGAGCGTCTGCTAAATGAATAAAATGTAAAATGTAAAACGGCCTACAGTGCCTTCAGAAAGTATTCACACCCTTTGACTATTCCACATTTAGTTGTGTTACAGCCTGAATTTAAAATGGATTACATTTATATTTTTTTGTCACTGGCTTACACACAATACCCCATAATGTCAAAGTGAAATTATATTTTTCTAATTTTGTACAAATTAATTAAGAATGAAAAGCCGAAATGTCTTGAGTCAATAGGTATTCAATCCCTTTGTTATGGCAAGCCTAAATAAGTTCAGGAGTAGAATAATAGAATAGTGTTTAACATGATATTAGAAATACTACCTCATGTCTATACCCCACACATACAATTATCTGTAAGGTCCCTAAGTCAAGCAGTGAATTTCAAACACAGATTCAACCACAAAGACCAAGGAGGTTTTCCAATGCCTTGCAAAGAAGGGTATCTATTGGTAGATGGGTAAAAAAAAGCAAACATTGAATATCCCTTTGACCGTGGTAAAGTTATGAATTACACTTTGGATGGTGTATCAATACACCCAGGCACTACAAAGATACAGGTGTCCTTCCTAACTCAGTTGCTGGAGAGGAAGGAAACCACTCAGGGATTCCTCCATGTGGCCAATGGTGAATTTAAAACAGTTACAGTTTAAAGGCTGTGATAGAAGAACACTGAGGATGGATCAACAACATTGTAGTTACTCCACAATACTGACCTAATTAGCAGAGTGAAAAGAAGGAAGCCTGTACAGAAATTTCAAAACATGCATCCTGTTTGCAACAAGGCACTAAAGTAATCCTGCAAAAAATGTGGCAAAGCAATTCACCTTTTGTCCTGAATACAAAGTGTTATGTTTGGGGCAAAAACAATTCAACACATCACTGAGTACCACTCTCCATATGTTCAAGCATAGTGGTGGCTGCATCCTGTTATGGGTATGCTTGTAATCATTAATCATTTTTCCAGAACAAAAAATAAACATAATGGAGCTAAGCACAGGAAAAAATCCTAGAGGAAAACCTGGTTCAGTTTGCTTTCCACCAGACACTGGGAGATTAATTCACCTTTCAACAGGACAATAACCTAAAACACAAGGCCAAATCTACACTTGAGTTGCTCACCAAGAAGAAAGTGAATGTTCCTGAGTGGCCGAGTTACAGTTTTGACTTAAATCTACTTAAACATCAATGGCGAAACCTGAAAATGGTTGTCTAGCAATGATAAACAACCAATTTGACAGAGCTTGAAGAATTTTGAAAAGAATAATGGGCAAATGTTTGCACAATCCAGGAGTGGAATGCTCTTGGAGACTTACCCAGAAAGACTCACAGCTGTAAACGCTGACAATGGTGCTTCTACAAAGTATTGACTCAGGGGTGTGAAATCTAATATAAATTCGATATTTCTGTAATTCACTATTAATATGTTTGCAAAAATCTCTAAAACCATGTTTTTCACTGTCATTATGGGATAATGTGTGTAGATGGGTGAGACATTTTTTTATTTAATCAATTTTTAAATCAGGCTGTAACACAACAAAATGTGGAATAAGTCAATGGGTATGAATACTTTCTGAATGCACTGAATGTGGCAACAATATTAGTCATAAACATTTATCCCAATGCAGAAATTAAATAATTACTATAATTTTGGTCATAAAGTCAGTATATTCCAAAACAGAGTTTTGTGAGATATGTGCAACTGATGTCGTCACGATTTACATGGGTTGGGCTTGGATTACAATCATGCCCACTTACCCACTAACCTAACGTAGCAGGCGTAAAATAAATGCCTGAGCTGGGACCGGTTTTTCAGGCTTCACCCATTCTTCTTTGTTTTTTCCCCTGAAAACCGGAAGCGTCCGTTTTTTGTCAACTCTGCTGAGGGTGCTTGCCCACTAACACAAGATGGTAATGCCAGTGAGAATTGTCATGCACGGAGAAACAGCTGCGCTGATTGCGTTCTATCCAATCGTAGCCTCCAGACAGTGAGACAGACCTGCACATTACGCATCACTTCAGACTCGGACTTGTTTATATAAGACAACATTTCGCCAATGTTATGTTGGAAGAACACTTGACCCCTAAGCCCTTTATGGAGGGCAACTTGCTTATGTGTTTGATAGTGATCACTCGAGTCTGCCAAATGAGAATTCAGACGAAGCGCACCCGCATTCCAACTGCCAAAATTCAAAACCCATTCACGAATCGCGAGCATCTTATGTCCGCCGCGACCAGTTTTGTAACATGATTTCAGTACATCCTGCAATGTAGAGGTCTATGGTACTGTCTGCCGCCTTAATAATATGAACAATATTTTGATGTAATGATAATATCACCTGCTAGCCATTCATTGCCTCACCTCTAGGTTTGATTAGATAGACTTTATGGTAACACTTCAGTGTTAAAGTATGGCAACACTTTACACTGTTAAAGTGTTACTGACTTTATTGTCTGAACAGAAAATGTTTTAGCATAACCAATGGGTGGGCACACAAAGGTGGACATTAACAGTGCAAATACAGGTAACTGCCAAAGTAAGTTTTAAGTTTCAGGTTTTATTGTCATGTGCACACGTACAGTGAAATGCCTTTCTTGCAAGCTCTTTCCCAACAATTCAGTAATCAATATCAGTAGTACTATGAAATAAAGTAAAGCAGAACAAAAGTAGAAATAAGAAGATCACAAGAAAGTAAGTAAGCAATATAGAGGGTCAGTTCCAGGGTCAGTGCCAATACCTTATTTACAATGTGCAGGGATACTGGAGTGGTAAGGGTAGATATGTATAGGGGTAAGGTGACTAGGCATCAGGATATATGATAAACAGAGTAGCAGCAGCTTGTATGATAATTGTATGTGAGTGTGTGTGCGTGTGTATAGAGTCAGTATGAATGTGTGTGTGTGTGTTATGTGTGTGTGAGCAAATGAAGTGTGTGTGTTGGAGTGTGTGTGTGTGTGTGTGTGTGTGTGTGTGTGTGTGAGTGAGTGAGTGTGAAGAGTCCTGTGAGTGTGCATAGAGTCAGTCCAAAAATAAAAGGGTCAATGCAGCCATTTTGTTAGCTATTTAGCAGTCTTATGGCTTGGGGATAGAAGCTGTTCAGGAGCCTGTTGGTGTCAGACTTGTTGCTCCGGTACTGCTTGCCATGCAGAAGCATAGAGAACAGTCTATTGCTTGGGTGGCTGGAGTCTTTAACAATTTTCCGGGCCTTTCTTTCACGCCGCCTGATATACTGTAGAGGTCCTGGATGGCAGGGAGCTTGGCCCCAGTGATGTATTGGGCTGTCCACACCACCCTCTGTAGCGCCATGCGATCGAGGGCGGTGCAGTTGCCATACCAAGCAGTGAAGGAGCCAGTCAAGATGCTCTCAATGGTGCAGCTGTATAACTTTTTGAGGATTTGAGGGCCAATGCTCAATCTTTTCAACCTCCTGAGGGGGAAGTGTGTCTGTCCGGCGTTCTTCACGACTGTGTGCGTGTGTGTGGACCATTTTAAGTTCTTAATTAATTCAATTCCAATTCATCCCAAAGGTGTTCGATGGGGTTGAGGTCAGGGCTCTGTGCAGGCCAGTCAAGTTCTTCCACACCAATCTCGACAATCCATTTCTGTATGGACCTTGCTTTGTGCAAGGGAGCATTGTCATGCTGAAACAGGAAAGGGCCTTCCCCAAACTGTTGCCACAAAGTTGTAAGCACAGAATCGTCTAGAATGTCTTTGTATGCTTAAGTGTTAAGATTTCCCTTCACTGGAACTAAGGGGCCTAGCCAGAACCATGAAAAACAGCCCCAGACCATTATTCCTCCTCCACCAAACAAACAGTTGGCACGATGCATTGGGGCAGGTAGCGTTCTACTGGCATCCGCCAAACCCAGATTCGTCCGTCGGACTGCCAGATGGTGAAGAGTGATTCATCGCTCCAGAGAACGCATTTTCCACTGCTCCAGAGTTCAATGGCAACGAGCTTTACACCACTCCAGCCGACACTTGGCATTGTGCATGGTGATCTTAGGCTTATGTGCGGCTGCTCAGTCATGGAACCCATTTCATGAAGCTCCCGACGAACAGTTATTGTGCTGACGTTGCTTCCAGAGGCATTTTGGAATTCGGCAGTCCCATTCTCTGAGCTTGTGTCCCGTTGTTGCTCCTAGACGTTTCCACTTCACAATAACAGCACTTACAGTTGACTGGGGCAGCTCTAGCAGGGCAAATATTTGATAAAACTGACTTGTTGGAAAGGTGGTATCCTATGGCAGTGCCATGTTGAAAGTCACTGAGCTCTTCAGTAAGGCTATTCTGCTGCCAATGTTTGTCTATGGCGATTGCATGGCTGTGTGCTCAATTTTATACACCTGTCAGCAATGGGTGTGGCTAAAATAGCCGAATCAACTAATTTGAAGGGGTGTCCACATACTTTTGTATCTATAGTTTATGTGTGGTATTTTTAGTTAGTAATGAAAGTTATTATAAAGTGTTACCTACCTTTGATATCTGACATTGTCCTGTCTTGATCCATGAAAGACTAGGATAAAAATATTAGTTCAAATCTGTGTAGATCTGTAGATAACGGAGCCACCAATTTATTTAGACATACATTATAGGTATTTTAATATGTTGGAATAGTCGAGGAGCAATTATGAGTGCTTATAACATATATTATAATGCACTATGGGGTGACACTTGTCACCTTAAGTGCATTTGTAATGCTTTGTAAACATATGGCTTGTCAAGTGTCCATGTGCAGCGGTAGGACGGAGTCAGGCGCAGGACACAGAACTGAGTAAACAACGTACTTTACTCGAAAAAACTACTCTAATTTCCACGCAGGGAAAACACACCAGCTCACATAAGTCTCAGACACAAAACAAAGAACAAACACACACAAAACCATGTGGGAACCAGAGGGTTAAATAGGGAAATAATATAATGTAATGGGAACCAGATGTGTACAATCAAGACAAAACAAATGGAAAAAGAAACGTAGATCGGTGGCAGCTAGAAAGTCAGTGACGACGACCGCTGAGCGCCGCCCGAACAAGAGAGGCACCAACTTCGGCGGAAGTCGTGACAGTACCCCCCCCCCCCCCCCCCCCCCTTGACGCGCGGCTCCAGCAGCGCGCCGACACCGGCCTCGGGGACGACCCGGAGGATGAGGCGTAGGACGATCCGGGTGGAGACGGTGAAATTCCTGCAGTAAGGAAGGGTCCAGGATGTCCTCCACCGGCACCCAGCATCTCACCTCCGGACCGTACCCCTCCCACTCCACGAGGTACTGAAGGCCCCTCGCCCGAACGCCTTGAGTCCATGATGGCTCGTATAGTATACGCCGGGACCCCCCTCGATGTCCAGAGGGGGCGGAGGAACCTCCCCGCACCTCAGACTGCTGAAGCAGACCTGCCACCACCGGCCTGAGGAGAGACACATGGAACGAGGGGTTAATACGGTAATCAGGGGGGAGCTGTAACCTATAGCATACCTTGTTCAGTCTCCTCAGGACTTTAAATGGCCCCAAAAACCGTGGACCCAGCTTCTGGCAGGGCAGGCGAAGGGGCAGGTTTTGGGTCGAGAGCCAGACCCGGTCCCCCGGTGCATACACCGGGGCCTCACTGCGGTGGCGGTCGGCGCTCGCCTTCTGTCGCCTGATGGCCCGTTGCAGGCGCACATGGGCAGCGTACCATGTCTCCTCCGAGCGCCGAAACCATTCATCCACCGCAGGTGCCTCGATCTGGCACTGATGCCAAGGTGCCATGACCGGCTGATAACCTAGTACACACTGAAACAGAGACATGTTAGTGGTGGAGGGAGTTTTGGGCCATCTCTGCCCAGGGGATGAAAGCCACCCACTCCCCCAGCCGGTCCTGGCAATAGGACCGCAGAAACCTACCCATATCCTGGTTAACTCTCTCCACCTGCCCATTACTCTCGGGGTGAAAACCTGAGGTCAGGCTGACCGAGACCCCCAGACGTTCCATGAACGCCCTCCAGACCCTCGATGTGAACTGGGGACCCCGATCAGACACTATACCCTCAGGCACCCCGTAGTGCCGGAAGACAAGGGTAAACAGGGCCTCCGCAGTCTGTAGGGCCGTAGTGAGACCGGGCAAAGGAAAGAGATGGCAGGACTTAGAAAACCGATCCACAACGACCAGGATCATGGTGTTACCTTGGGACGGAGGAAGATCTGTCACAAAGTCCACTGATAGGTGCGACCACGGCCGTTGTGGAACGGGTAGGGGTTGTAATTTCCTTCTGGGCACGTGTCTAGGTGCCTTGCACTGGGCGCACACCGAGCAGGAGGAAACTTAAACCCTCACGTCCTTAGCTAAAGTGGGCCACCAGTACTCCCCACTAAGACAGCGCACTGTCCGACCGATGCCAGGATGACCAGAGGTTTAGGTTTATTTGAACAGTGAGAGAAAGAAGAACAACAAAAAAATCAAGAAAAACGCATGTCAAAAATGTTATAAATTGATTTGCATTTTAATGAGGGAAATAAGTATTTGACCCCCTCTCAATCAGAAAGATTTCTGGCTCTTAGGTGTCTTTTATACAGGTAACAAGCTGAGATTAGGAGCACACTCTTAAAGGGAGTGCTCCTAACCTCAGCTTGTTACCTGTATAAAAGACACCTGTCCACAGAAGGAATCAATCAATCCGATTCCAAACTCTCCACCATGGCCAAGACCAAAGAGCTCTACAAGGATGTCAGGGACAAGACTGTAGACCTACACAAGGCTGGAATGGGCTACAAGACCATCGCCAAGCAGCTTGATGAGAAGGTGACAACAGTTGGTGCGATTATTCGCAAATGGAAGAAACACAAAATAACTGTCAATCTCCCTCGGCCTGGGAATTCATGCAAGATCTCACCTCGTGGAGTTGCAATGATCATGAGAATGGTGAGGAATCAGCCCAGAACTACACGGGAGGATCTTGTCAATGATCTCAAGGCAGCTGGGACCATAGTCACCAAGAAAACAATTGGTAACACACTACGCCGCGAAGGACTGAAATCCTGCAGCGCCCGCAAGGTCCCCCTGCTCAAAAAAACACATATACATGCCCATCTGAAGTTTGCCAATGAACATCTGAATGATTCAGAGGAGAACTGTGTGAAAGTGTTGTGGTTAGATGAGACCAAAATGGAGCTCTTTGGCATCCACTCAACTCGCCGTGTTTGGAGGAGGAGGAATGCTGCCTATAACCCCAAGAACACTATTCCCACTGTCAAACATGGAGGTGGAAACATTATGCTTTGGGGGTGTTTTTCTGCTAAGGGGACAGGACAACTTCACCGCATCAAAGGGACAATGGACGGCGCCATGTACCGTCAAATCTTGGGTGAGAACCTCCTTCCCTCAGCCAGGGCATTTAAAATGGGTCGTGGTTGGGTATTCCAGCATGACAATGACCCAAAACTCACGGCCAAGGCAACAAAGGAGTGGCTCAAGAAGAAGCACATTAAGGTCCTGGAGTGGCCTAGCCAGTCTCCAGACCTTAATCCCATAGACAATCTGTGGAGGGAGCTGAAGGTTCGAGTTGCCAAACGTCAGCCTCGAAACCTGAATGACTTGGAGAAGATCTGCAAAGAGGAGTGGGACAAAATCCCTCCTGAGATGTGTGCAAACCTGGTGGCCAACTACAAGAAACGTCTGACCTCTGTGATTGCCATCAAGGGTTTTGCCACCAAGTACTAAGTAATGTTTTGCAGAGGGGTCAAATACTTATTTCCCTCCTTAAAATGCAAATCAATTTATAACATTTTTGACATGTGTTTTTCTGGATTTTTTTGTTGTTGTTATTCTGTCTCTCACTGTTCAAATAAACCTACCATTAAAATTATAGACTGATCATGTCTTTGTCAGTGGGCAAACGTACAAAATCAGCAGGGGATCAAATACTTTTTTCCCTCACTGTACATCCGGGACAGTGTGTCTGCCTTAGCGTTCTGAGAACCTGGTCTGTAGGATAGGGTGAAAACAAAATGGGTGAAAAAACATGGCCCACCTTGCCTGGCGAGGGTTCAGTCTCCTCGCCGCCCAGATGTACTTCAGATTGCGGTGGTCAGTCCAAATGAGGAAAGGGTGTTTCTAGCCAAATCGGCATATTCGGGGGGAGAGGCACCAACTTCGGCGGAAGTCGTGACATGGCTCTTATGGAGCTAACCCTGCAGATAGCGCTACTGGGTGATCTGAAAAGTCATAGTCAATCGATCAATAATATAATAATTATTTTAGCAAAAATGTTATTTTCAATTTACAATCTGTAGAAACAATGAGAATAGAAAGGTTCAGAACTTTTGTAAAACATCACAGTACATTTGAAAAATATATGGCAAATAGAAATCCAATGTGGATGGTGTTAAGAGATAGATGGGAGGTGTTGAATGGAGCTGAAGGATGGGACTAATAACAACAACTAATAACAACAAGATAACTAATGTAAAGCATACTATGTCCATTATAAGTATATAGGTTATAGGTTGAGAGCTTTTGTGAAAGAGCACAGTTAGAAAAATATGCCATATAGAAGCAAACCAGATGGACATCATGAACATGATCGAAAGAAGTTCAGGAGTAAAAACAAACAAAATATAATTATTGTAGAATTGACTGTGTCCATAAAATGTATATAGTATGCATGGGCTAGAAGTAGAGGCCTAAGCGTTGTTGTTCACTAGTTTACTCCAATTGGGGAAGGGGTGGTGGGGGTTGGAAAGTAATGAAGTGTCAAGGCGTGCTGAAGGTGGGTGTGGTGTAGGAATCATGTGCAGGACACAGAGGCTCAGTCCAAAGGCTTTAGTGCAATAAATATATATCCAACCGAAGCAAAATAAGCCCGAAGGCAAAATGCACGACGCACACAGGCGACCAAAACGAATGACGCACAAACATGTGCAAACAACCCTCTCAAACACTGGAGGGAAAATGTAGCTCCAAAACACGAAACAGTAGTACAATCACACACAACGACAAGCACACACAACGAGAACTAAATAGGCCACTAACGAGGACTAACAAGACACAGGTGTACAACATCCAGACAAAACCAATCAAGCATGAAACATAGATCGGTGGCAGCTAGTACTCCGGGGACGACGACCGCCGAAGCCTGCCCGAACCAGGAGGAGGAGCAGCCTCGGCCGAAACCGTGACAGTACCCCCCCCCCTTGACGCGCGGCTCCAGCCGTTGCGCCGAACCCCAGGCCTCGGGGACGACCAGGAGGACGCGGAGCAGGGCACGCGGGATGGTCCCGGTGGAACCCGACAGGAGAGATGGGTCTAGGATGTCCCTCCGCGGCACCAGCACCGCTCCTCCGGGCCGTACCCCTCCCACTCCACGAGATACTGAAGACCCCCCATCCGGCGTCTAGAGTCCTAGATGGACCAGAACCGGTTGTACCGCCGGGAGGCCCCCTCGATGTCCAGTGGGGGCGGAGGAGTCTCCCCTATTCATTGTCCTGGAGTGGACCAGCTACCACCGGCCTGAGAAGAGACACATGGAACGAGGGGTTAATATTCCTATACTCAACAGGTAGATGTAATTCTATAACAAACCTCGTTTCATCTTCTCAGGACTTAAAGGGCCCCAACAAACCGCCGACCCAGCTTCCGGCAGGGCAGGCGGAGGGGTAGGTTTCTGGTAGAGAGCCAGACTCGATCTCCGGGTGGCTGTACACCGGCCCCCTCACTGCGGTGGAGATCGGCGCTCGCCTTGTGACGAAGGACGGCCCGCTGCAGGTGGACGTGGGCAGCGTTCCACGTCTCTTCCGAGCGCCTCATCCAATCATCCACCGCAGGGGCCTCGATCTGGCTCTGCTGCCAATGGTGCCAGAACCGGCTGGTACCCTAACACACATTGGAATGGGGGTTAGGTAGTAGAGGAGTGGCGGAGAGAGTTTGGGCCATCTCGGCCCAGGGAAATTTGGTCCCGGTGCCCACTCCCCGGCCGGTCCGGGAAATTACAACCCCCCAAAACCCCTCCCCAAATCCTTTTTGGGCCACTTTCAAAATCCCCTTTACTCTCCGGGTGGTCCCCTGGGGAAAGGCAAACCCGCCCCCCCCCAAAACGCCCATAAAACGCTCCCCAAAAACCCTAGATTTTAAAAAGGGGAAACCTCGATAAAGCACTAATCCGGGGGTTACCCCGGTAATCCCGGAAAAGACATGGGTAAATAGGGGCCTTAAAGGGGTTGTAGGGCAGTAGGAAGACCCCCCCTGGGGAGAAGACGACAGGCCTTAGAAACCGGTCCCAACGCCCGGGAATGTGGTTTTCCCCCTGAGAGGGGGAAAGGTTTCTTCAAAAAATCCACCGAGGGGTTTTGGGGCCCAGGGTCGTTGGGGAAAGGGAAAAAGGGGTTGTAACTTCCCCCGGGGCAGATGCCGGGGCCCCTTAACCCGGGGGGCACCACCAGCAAAAAAACCCAATTAAAACCCCAATTTTACCCAAAAGGGGGAAACCAGTTTTGGCTTGGGAACCATCCCCCGAAAACCCCCTTTTTTGTTCCGAATCCCGGGGGCCCAAAAATTTAATCCCCCCCCCTTTTTTCCCCAAATTTCCTTCCCCCCCTTTTCCTTTTTTTTTTGGGGGCTTGGGTGGGGCAAAGCTTTTTCCTTTTTTCCCTAACCCTCCCCACCCCCCCCCCGGTTCCACTAGGCAAAACTCCGGTGTATGGGAGGGGGCTCAAGGACCTCCCTCCGTGTAAAACCCCCGGGAAAAGGCATTTTTCCCTTACCATTCTGGGACCCGGGGATTACGTGTTTTTAAATACAATTTGGTGAAAAAACATATTTCCCCCACGAGCCTGGGAGGGTTTCATTCTCCTGGGTTGCCCGGTTTGTACCCCCGGGTTCCGATGGCGGGGTAAAAATGGGGAAAGGGGGGGGTTGGGCCCCCTCACCCAAATGCCCCCCACCCCTTTAAAGGGCTTGAACTACAGCTAACACCCCCCCTTTTCCCCCAAAACGTCATATTACGCCCCCGCCGGGCTGACCCTTTTTTTAATTTAAAAAAAGCACAGGGGGGGATTTTAGGGGGCTCCCGGACCTTGAGGGGAAGGGGGGCCCCCAAATACCAGCCTCAAAACCGCTCCCTCAAACCAAAAGGGAAAAAGGGGGAATCCGGATGCGCTAGCCCCCGGAGCCGACGTAAACGGGCCCTTCAGTCCCCAAAAGGGCCCACCCCGCACGGCTGCCCAACTGAAAGGCGCCCCGGGCCCCCCCTTCAAAAAGGGACGTGGGGGAGCTCCCCACCGGGCCCAAAAAACCCCGGATAAACCCCCTTTGGGAAATTCGCAAAGCCCAAAAAATGTTGAAACCTCTTTTACAGTAGTTGGGGTTTGCCAATTCGCAAGGGGGCCACACATCCACCTCCCCTTCTCACCCCCCGACGCGGGCAAAACCCAAACCCAAAAAAAGGGGGGACCGACTCCTGGGAAAAAAAAGAACCCTTTCTCTGCCTTGACAATAGGTTTGTCTTTCCCAAAAGCCCCCTCAATTTAAAAAAACGCCGCCCCAGGGGTTTTATGCTCGGTTGGGTAGACGAGACAAAACCCAAAAGGTTAAACATTTTTACGACCCCCCCCTTGTCCCTGCATATCCCGGACAAAGTTTTTACGAAAGGGTTGGAAAATGATGGGCATTTCCCTCAACCCCTATGGCATGACAGATATTCCGGGAAAAGCCCAGACGTGGGTTAAATAAAAACCGTCTTCCCTTCGTCACCCCCCCCCAATGCGCACCCAAATTATACGCGCCCTGAGATCCAGTTTTGTGAAAAAACCCCGCTCCAGGAAAAAGAATCCGTCCCGGGGCGAAAAAGAGGGGTGGGTAACTGTATTTCACAGTAATTTTGATTAGACCCCCGGTAAACAATTCAAAAGGGCGCAAACCCCCCCTCTTCTTTTTCACAAAAAAAAAAGCTCGGGGGGGGAAGGGGGGGGAAAGTGGAGGGCCCCAATGTTCCCGTCCCCAAAGATTCGGCTTTTATAAATCTCCATTGGGTTTTCCCCTCCCCCTTTAGGGGGCAAAAGGAACATGGGTCCGTGGGAGCGCTGCTCCGCCTGGAGATCAATTCCCCAAACCCCCTGTCTATAGGAGGCAATGCGTTTGCCCTAGTTTTTCTAAAAACGAGTGCTAAAACCCCCTATCAGGGGGGGAAAGTGCAGTGCAAAGGGACTTTTGGGTTTTTTCTTTCCACCGAAGTCGGGCCCCCCGGGAAACCCAAAACCCCCACATGCCCCTCGACTGAGCGACCAACCCCTCGAGAGCCCCTGTTGCCCCGAAATAAAACAGGGTTATGGGGCTTAAACCCGGGGAAACCCCCCAACCACGGGTACCAAAGGGGAGTCATCAGATACAACTGATAGTTTTCCCTGACCCCCCCCGCCCCACACCCCGAATTTGGGGCTTTTTGATCTCCCTGATCAACCCCGACCCCCAAAGGACGGCTTGGGTTTTAAAGGGATGAACCGGGGAAAAAGGGTTTGGTTAAAAAGGTGGAGAGGGATCCCTAACTCAAAAAAAAAACTTACGATCAAAAAAAAATTCCCAGGCCCCCTGAATCTTTCGCGCCTTATGCTGGGAAGGGGGTGCAACCTGTGGAAAAAAACAGGTATACAAAAGGGGGAAAAAAGCTCTGGGTAAGTGGGACGTCTACTCACCTGGGGGGGCCCCCCAGTGCGTGGGCCTTTTTTTCGTTTTTTTTTACTTTTTGGAGGGAACCCCCCCCGCACCTGGCGTAGGTGCCCCCACGACCGCAATTGGGGCAGGGGACCGGCCCCCCTGGGCCCCCTACCCCCGTTCTCTAGGCCGGACCCCCAATTTCCCTGGGGCTCGGCTCGGGGGTGCCCCGGGGGGGGCGGGAAAGGGGGGACTCCCCTCGGGGGTCCACGGGGGGCCAGCAGGGGGTCCAGACGGATGGACCCTCGACCAAATGGTCGAAAGGGAAGATGGGGTTTCCCCGCAGGCCAACTCACCTTTTAACGTTCCCCTCGTAGGCTACATCGAAAAAAGGCGATGAGGCCCTTTTATTCCCCCCGGGTCCCCCCCGTAGAGTCCCCGGTTTCTCTAGAGCGGGAAAACCTGAGCGCTCCCCCTTTCCCCCCCCGCTCAAAAGGACCCGCGTCCCCCGCCGTTTTTCCCCCCAGGGGAGGGCGAACACGGCCTTTAAGCGGGGGGGGAGAACTCGGCGTAGGTAATGGGGTTGGCGTCCCTTTTCCCCACCCCCCGGCGTTTTTCCCACTCCAACCCTTTGCCCGTTTAGCCCGGAGATGAAGGGGGAAACGCCCCCGTATCCCGAGGGCAAACCCGGGGGTACAGTGGCCAGGTAGAGCCTACCCTGCAGGAGGAAACCCCCGACACCCGGCGCTGTTCCGGGATAAGCCCTCGGGGGCGAGAGCCGAATCCCCCCGGGTTCCGAAAAAGGGGGTAGTGGACCGACCGGGTGGGAAAGGGCAGGGTAGGTGGAGGTGTTGGGGGAAAACTGCCCGGGCCCCCCCATGGGTGCATGTGTTTATTTAACCCCCTGTAAGCGGTCTCCCCGGGGTTTGGAAATTTTGGGCCCCTTTCCCAGGAGATCTCCTCGGGAACGAAAACCCGGCGTCACGCCGATCCCGTGATTCCCTTATCCCAAGGGGTTGATTCTGTCAAAAGGGGGCTGAAGGGGGGTGTGGTTTTAGGAATTATGCGCAAGGAACAGAGGCTCAGCCAAAAAGGGTTTAGTGCAAAAAAATTTTAAATCCCAACCCAAACAAAAAAAAGCCCGAAAAGGGAAAGAAAGACCCCCACAGGCTAAAAACGAAAAAAAAAGCCAAACATGTGCAAAAAACCTCTCAAAACTTTGGGGAAAATGTAGCTCCAAAAAAAAGAAACAGTTTGTCAATCACACACAACGACAAACCCACACAAAGAAACTAAATAGGCCACTAACGGGGGCTAACCGACAAGGTGAACAAAAAGACAAAAAACCCAAAAGAACATAAACAAAAGATCGGGGGCAAACTAGTAAATCCGGGGGCAACCCACCGCCGAAACCCGCCCGAAACCCGGAGGGGGAAACAGCCCCGGGCCCAAACCCCCTGACATTAAGGAAATAAATTTTTAAAAAAAAAGGGTTGTGTTTGTGTATGGAGGGATGTTTTATTAATATGTATATATGTATGTTATACAGTGAGGGAAAAAAAGATTTGATCCCCCGCTGATTTTAAAATTTTTCCCACTGAAAAAAAAGACATTATCAGTCTATAATTTTAATGGTAGGTTTTATTTGAACAGTGAGAGACAGAATAACAACTAAAAAATCCAGAAAAAACGCATGTCAAAAAGGTTATAAATTGATTTGCATTTTAATGAGGGAAATAAGTATTTGACCCCTCTACAAAACATGACTTAGTACTTGGTGGCAAAAACCCTTGTTGGCAATCACAGAGGTCAGACTTTTCTTGTAGTTGGCCACCAGGTTTGCACACATCTCAGGAGGGATTTTGTCCCACTCCTCTTTGCAGATCTTCTCCAAGTCATTAAGGTTTCGAGGTTGACATTTGGCAACTCGAACCTTCAGCTCCCTCCACAGATTTTCTATGGGATTAAGGTCTGGAGACTGGCTAGGCCACTCCAGGACCTTAGTGTGCTTCTTCTTGAGCCAATCCTTTGTTGCCTTGGCCGTGTGTTTTGTGTCATTGTCATGCTGGAATACCCATCCACGACCCATTTTCATTGCCCTGGCTGTGGGAAGGAGGTTCTCAACCAAGATTTGACGGTACGTGGCCCCGTCCATCGTCCCTAACCCTAAAAAAATTAAATTATAATAATTATAATAATATGGCTCTTAGAACATTACTTTAATTTCTCAAAACACTAATATGGCTGGAAAAAACAAAGGTTGTATGGTATCTGATTTTGCATGTCTTTTTAGGGACCAAGCATTTTTTTCTTATTGTGCAACGTGAGAGTAGAGAACTCTGGAGAGATCAAGTTTGTCACCAAACACATGGAATGCACAGCCTACCAGGAGGTGGAGGGTAATATGATTACTTCTTCTTTGTATTCCCACTCCCATGCTTTGTGTTGTTTTATTGAACGGATAGGACAGTGAAGAGACAGGAAAGGTAGGAGGAGTGTGAGTCAGAGAGGTAGTGGATCAGATTCAAACCCCTGCCGACTCTGGTAGCACTAACCACTCAGGCACCTCCTTTTTCTGTACATCTGAAATTGTAGTCAAATCTCTCTCTATAGACTGTCCCACATTGAAATGTCAGGTAAACTCATACAGTTCCTTTATTGTAGTAACAAATTAGTTATGGGGACAGGATATGGAAATATCAATATCAGATGCTTTCTTTCCAATACGATATCGATAAATATTGATTTATCGATTTTAGTGCCAGCCACTGGTTTAAATGAATTATCGTCAGGTCACAGACCACACCTCACACCACACTTTGGAACCAAACCAAATAGTATTTTATCCTTGCAGAGCTTCCCTTGAACATAACGAAACCTCTCCAAGACAAAGTAGCCCTTGAGATGAGTCGTGCGATCATGCACTGCTCCGTGTCCAACCTGCAGTGCAGCATCCGCTGGTAGAAGGGCAGCAATGTCATCCTGCCCTCGGAGCACTTTGAGATCTGCAGTGAGGGCTTCTATCGCAAGCTGGTTATTCAACAGGTGGCACTGGATGATGAAGGAACCTACAGTGTGCAGTATGGGAAGCACACATGCTCTGCGAAATTAACTGTAGAAGGTAAGAACATCAAAAAAGTGACAGTTCACCCCACATTCATGGTTTCAGACCTGAAAAGTGGCATTTTTGTCAAGATGAGGCTACATCCTCTCCATATATTGTGTTGATCCAGCTACAGTATATGCCTCAATTCCAAATGAATGGAAAATATAGGGACTAAATAGTTCCCCAATTTTATTCAGTAATATAGCAAGGTCAATAATTTAAGGTCAGTTTTGCATCCCCCCTGATGGTTAGGATTTGGGGAGAGTAGGCTGTTCTTAGATCTGTGTCTAAGGGAAGCGTAGAAGGATCAGCGACCTGAAAATAACAGCTCCATCTACTGGGGACATTGCAATAAGACATTCCTATTCATTACACACTACAGGTCACTCAGTTCAGTATTTTAGAGGATCATAGGTCAACTCTAGTACTATGTAATTGTAATGCAGTTACTAAAGTTCTATGTAACAACATTGTATTAACATGTTGTTACAAGTGAACTTACAGCGTTAACCAGGTATGAAAGTAACTTAATGGAAAGTGTTACCATAAATTCTATTCAAGCATTGTTCCATGCACCTTATCTGCAATTAACATGTACAGGTGAGTCATTTGATTCTCATTTAATTCATCATAGAGTAACTAGAGTGTATAGGGTAATCATGTTTAAAAGTACACTCAGCAAGGTGACATCCTCAAACACAATGGGGTAACCTCATACAACATGGACAACAACATCAACAGACTTCAAAACATCCTTTATGGTGGAAAGTGCACATTGTGAGAAGCCAGCAATGGCAGTCATTGTATATCTGAATTTTGGTGACATTGTGGTCTTATGTTGCTTTGTTGTTAATGATGATGTCATCTTGTTGAGTGTACCTTTGAGTGCACCCCCATTTTTCCCTCAATTGATTTATCTTTCTCTGGTCAACAAAGCTCAGTCTCTCCTAATGGTGAGGGAACTGAAGAGCGTGGAGGTGGTGGCCCCAGACGAGGCCTGCTTCGAATGTGAGGTCTCGGTCTCCGTCCTCAAATCCTCAGTGTGGAGCCTGAAGGGGGAGGCCCTGCAGCATGTGCCCAAGGTCAGCCTGGAGAAGATGGGCAAGGTCCACCGACTCACCCTCCGACAGACCTACGTCGACATGAGCGGACTGGTGGAGTTCACGTCGGGAAAAGCCAAGATCAGCGCTCCATGTCAAGAGTAAGCGAACCCTTTTCCTTTTGCATGTGATTTGGCATGCCAGCGGCACAGGGTGAGACATGTTTGACTTCTGTGGAGAAGTGTGACATACTGTAAGCCAGGGGTGTCAAACATCTGGCCCACGGATGGTTTGAGTAAAAATAAACCTCAGTACTTTAAAATTACTAAAACCAAATCGAAACTGTTTACAAATTATTATGGACCTACATTCATACAGTTTCTTGACTGTGTTCAGCTCACTAATAATCACCGAAATGAAAGCTAGACAGTCAGGGTGCATAGAAATTCCCAAAACGATGGATAGACTACAATTGTTTTGCTAATTTGAAAGGCGAGAAAATACACACATTTTCAGTGCTGCCCTCTGACCGAATGTGGCTCCCAGGGCAAAATTAGTTGGACACACCCCTGCTGTTAACTATGTTTGGTGTTTATGTGCACCTCTCTCCATGGGCACTGATATCTAGGTCAGACGATAGGGAATGTATATCCTGGTAGACTTCTAAGGCTTTACAGGCTCCTGATAATGTTCTGTATTGTAGTACTGTATCTATGCAGTTGCATACATTGTTATGTACTATATTTTCCTATTTAATCAAAACTGTTGGGTTGTTATTGTATTTCAGGACCAAAACTGGGTTTTATTTCAGGATTTGGCTCATGATGGCTACTTGAGGCTATTATAGCTACTGTAGTTAGCCACTATAGCTAACCGAGGGTCACTGGTTGTCCCCAATTCAATTGAACCTTCATTGTAGTATTTATGCAGTTGCATTCAAATACAGTATATCGTCTTTCCCTATTCAATCAAAACCATTGTGTATTATTGTATTTCAAGATAAGACCAAAATAAAACAAAAACAATTGTCATGCCCAAGAGATAATTGAATTAGCATACTTCCATGACGATTCCCAGTAAACTCCTTCACTCAATATAGTATGAATAAACACTATAGAGGGATAATAGAGCCAACATTTTCAAATAATGAAATACAAATACATTGAAGATATCGACTGTATGTTGACACTAATATCATCATACAAAACATGAATTTTGCAATGCATGCATGAAGACAGATATTTATGTCTTATTGCGGAAACCTGTTTAACGTTTTTGCTTGAATAGAACATACTGTACATAACATAGGATTGATATTTGTGATTATTTGTGTCCTTTTTTCTACTATTCATCTTCAACAGGTGATCCTTGACAGATGTGGTATCATCTTGATGCAGTATCAACATCAGAATGAGATGGATTGATATCTTATCCACCAATCTGTTTGTGTTCATATTTGAATGTGAAATTGTAATGGTAAGGGTTAGAATTTTAAGATATTTTCCTGTCTTTATAAAGGCGGTTACAAGTTTGTGTCAAAGTTTTTAACAATAAGTAATTGAAAGATTTTGTGTAATTATTTCCCAGTGCCCTACTCACTCGAAACAATGCCTTGAACAAATGACATCTTCAAAGGCTGTAGGTACATTCAATTTACAGTAAGTACAGATTTGAGTGCTTAATCCATAAAATGTAATGTAATATAAAAATGTGCCCTAAAGTCAGCCCTACAGTAAAGTTGGAGAATACAATTGATTGCAAAGTTGGCACTGAATCCTGACTTGAGATCTGTGTTTGAGTGGAATCTGCTTGCAAATCTTCCATAAATATGAATGAATGTTTTATGCAAACGTCTGAAAGAGCACAGATCCTATTTTAGAATTTGGCCCATAACGGCTACTTACACTGACTGTACAAAACAGTGTATGTCTAATATTGATAAACTGTAAGTTGTTTAGTAAGGGAAAAATCCTAACTTGAGCTACCAGCTTTTTAGCACAAATCCCCTTTGACATCAATGAATTTATCCAGAACTTTGAGATGTGCATTTTTCTCAAGTTAGGATTCAATCCTACATTTAAAAAGGTTCAAGTTTCCATTAGTTTCTATTATAATTTACTTTAAATTCCCTTTTAGTCAGTCAGGTCATTTAAGCAACAGCACCATTCTTGCTCTTAAATTTCTTGATCATCATTACTTGCAGCATAATTGCATCATTTCATGTGCATTTTTCATCACGTGTCCATTGTATAGACATAGTTTTTTACAATTTGAAGTTGTTCTGTTGGAGGCAGAAATTCAAGCTACTGTGAAAAATGGGTTCTGTCAAGTAACATGAGGCTTATAATATCAATACATTGGGCCAAAATTGGTTAATTTAGAAAGGTGGTAGTTAACAGTATATTGATCATGTTATTAGATTAGATTAAAGTTTAAATGCAGAGTTGACTGAGTAATGTACATTGTATTTAATAATTCATGTTTTCATATGAAGTGAAGTCAGTACCATATTCCATTTTCCTTTTCATTTAATTTGTTTCCAACACCCCCTGCAATTTAATAAATCACTCTATTAGTGTATGCATCATTCATTGTAGTGAGATATTACCTCTTTCAATAAATCATGCTTTATTGTGGGAAAGTACAAATCATTTTATAGTTCTTTCTTAGAATTAACCAGCAGCTTCAGTTTCATTACATGGATGTCAACGCTCTTGTTGCATGCAGTGAAAAAAACAGCAAATGATTATAGTCATTCAAATATTTTTGGTATTTAAAGATGTATATCTTGTCAAATTATTGCTGAATTGTATTTTTAAGGTAACGCAGACCCGCATGCACAGAGACGTAGTCACGTACACGCGCAAGCAAACACGTCAGGAAGTGTCATAAAGAAAATTACAATCGTTACAAGGCATCAATACAAGGAGCTATGAAAAGACAACCTACTCAACTGACTGTACAGGTTAAATGTTAGACTTGCAATATGATATTGCATATAAAAAAGTATAGTTCAAGTACGTGAAAGAACAGAAGAATACATTATGCTTGTTAGAACGAAATTTCACACATACATCTCCAGCATATGGATTACAAACCATTTCCCCACCTGGACACTGTACTAGAATTATTCAAAGTTAGCACATTTTATTTTGCCAAAAGTCATAACCAAGAGGTGATTACCGCATCGAATGTGAAAAAATAACTGACACCATTCTTTACAATGTTTGCCATGAAGCAGTTCCTCATAGTTAAGTCTCTGTGCCAAACTGAGTGGCCTCTCTATCACGTTTGTGTGAATGGAATTTGGAGGATGACAATGACCGAGAGACACTAGCTGGTCCTTCTAGTGGGAAGAAACTTGAAGCCTGTTGCCCACCAGCCTCCTCCATGGCCCCCTGTGGTGAAAAGTTGCCGCCGGTGTCTTATTACGCACTAGCTTGCAGTCCTCTGCTGTTTGAGAATATTGTAGACATCATCCACTTTGCTTAGTCTCTCGAAGAGTGGGATGAGATCTAGTAGCTCTGTATCTGCCTTGTCGTCGAACCAGGATGTTACGGGGACCTGAGTGTGTGAAAAGGCGAAGTCATAAACAAAGTCAAGTTTCTTACATAATGGCACAAATCTATGTGTACCATTGAGTTAGTTATATGTATATGCGTAATGGTATATGCAGAAATAAAATCTAATCGTAAATAAAAAAAGTTAATCTATTCATAAGAATGTGAAAATTCACATTCTCATGAATAGGTCATAGGTGAACATATGAAACACATTTTTAGATAGACATTGCATCACGAAAGCCATGAATCTCGAACAGGAAGTATGGGTTTGAGAGGCTGCATGCTGTTAGTTTGGTACATTTACACTGATCTCACATTTCTCCATTGGAGCATATTCTTTACCCATAACCACCAAAATTACACTGAACAAAAATATAAATGCAACATGTAAAGTTTGGTCCCATGTTTCATGAGCTGAAATAAAAGATCCCAGAAATGTTCCATACGCACAAAAAGCTTCTTTCTATAAAATGTTGTGCAACATTTGTTTACATACTGTACCTGTTAGTGAGCATTTCTCCTTTGCCAAGATAATCCATCCACCTGACAGGTGTGGCATATCAAGAAGCTGATTAAACAGCATGATCATTATATAGGAGACACTCTAAAATGTGCACACAACACAATGTCACAGATGTCTCAAGTTTTGATGTAGCGTGAATTTGGCATGCTGACTGCAGGAATGTCCACCAGAGCTGTTGCCAGAGAATTGATTGTTCATTTCTCTACAACGTCGTTTTAGAGAATTTGGCAGTACGTCCAACCGGCCTCACAACCGCAGACCACGTGTAACCACGCCAGCCCAGGACCTCCACATCCGGCTTCTTCACCTGCGGGATCGTCTGAGACCAGCTACCTGGACAGCTGATTAAACTGTGGGTTTGCAGAACTGAAGCATTTCTGCACAAAACTGTCAGAAACCGCCTCAGGGAAGCTCATCTGCGTGCTCGCCGTCCTCATCAGAGTCTTGACCTGACTACAGTTCAGGGTCTTGACCTGACTACAGTTCGGAGTCGTAACCGACTTCTGTGGGCAAATGCTCTCCTTCGATGGCCACTGGCACGCTGGAGAAGTGTGCTCTTCATGGATGAATCCTGGTTTGAACTTTACCGGGGAGATGGCAGATGGCATCGTGTGGGCGAGCAGTTTGCTGATGTCAACGTTGTGAACAGAGTGCCCCATGGTGGCGGTGGGGTTATAGTATGGGCAGGCATAAGCTGTAGAACACAATTGCATTTAATCTATGGCAATTTGAATGCACAGATATACCGTGATGAAATCCTGAAGCCCATTGTCGTGCCATTCATCCACCGCCATCACCTCATGTTTCAGCATGATAATGCATGGCCCATGTCGCAAGGATCTGTACACAATTCCTGGAAGCTGAAAATGTCCCAGTTCTTCCATGGCCTGCATACTCAGACATGTCACCCATTCAGCACGTTTGGGAAGCTCTGGATCAATGTGTACGACAGCATGTTCCAGTTCCCGCCAACATCCAGCAACTTCGCACAGCCATTGAAGAAGAGTGGGACAACATTCCACAGGCTACAATCAACAGCCTGATTAACTCTATGCGAAGGAGATGTGTCGCGCTGTATGAGGCAAATGGTGGTCACACCAGATACTGACTAGTTTTCTGATCCACGCCCCTACTTTAAAAAAAAAGGTGATCTGTGACCAACAGATGCATATGTGTATTCCCAGTCATGTGAAATCCATAGATTAGGGCCTAATTAATTTATTTCTATTGACTGATTTCCTGATATGAACTGAAACTCAGTAAAATCTTAGAAATTGTTGCATGTTGCGTTTATATTTTTGTTAACTGTACCTAACTATGGAAGCCGCAGACATTATTTTGCAGAGAACATCAGTGATACAGATATAGGATCTTAATTTGATCACCCTGTTGCAGGGGAACTTTCCTGCGATGCAGGACATTTTAAACTTGTATAGTATTTGAGGTTTAAAAAGGCTTCTGAAGTTCGTAATTTCCACTTTCAGAAAAATGTATCAGCCCTTACAAAAATGTCCATTAATTATAATCCACATGCTAATTCACATTTCCGGTTGCTGCAGGATTCTTTTCTTGCTGTAGCATACTGGCTCAAACCTCAACCTCCTGAGTGGCGCAGTGGTCTAAGGCACTAGAGATCCTGGTTCGAAACCAGGCTCTGTCGTAGCCGGCTGCGACCGGGAGACCCATGGGGTGGCGCACAATTGGCCCAGCGTCGTCCAGGGTAGAGGAGGGAATGGCCGGCAGGGATGTAGCTCAGTTGGTAGAGCATGGTGTTTGCAACACCAGGGTTGTGGGTTCGATTCCCACGGGGGGCCAGTATGAAAAAAATAATAATGTATGCACTGGATAAGAGCGTTTGCTAAAATGACTAAAAAAATATAAGAGCATTGAAGATGGGTCGTGGCTGGGTCTTCCAGCATGACAACGACCCGAAACACACAGCCAGGGCAACTAAGGAGTGGCTCTGTAAGAAGCATCTCAAGGTCCTGGAGTGCCCTAGCCAGTCTCCAGACCTGAACCCAATAGAAAATCTTTGGAGGGAGCTGAAAGTCCGTATTGCCCAGCGACAGCCCCGAAACCTGAAGGAGCTGGAGAAGGTCTGTATGGAGTGGGCCAAAATCCCTGCTGCAGTGTGTGCAAACCTGGTCAAGACCTACAGGAAACGTATGATCTCTGTAATTGCAAACAAAGGTTTCTGTACCAAATATTAAGTTCTGCTTTTCTGATGTATCAAATACTTATGTCATGCAATAAAATGCACATTAATTACTTAAAAATCATACAACGTGATTTTCTGGATTTTTGTTTTAGATTCCGTCTCTCACAGTTGAAGTGTACCTATGATAAATATTACAGACCTCTACATGCTTTGTAAGTAGGAAAACCTGTCAAATCGGCAGTGTATCAAATACTTGTTCTCCCCACTGTATATATTAATATATATATATATATATTAAGATCCAACATCTGTATCACACATGCTGTTCTGAAATAATATACTGAAAAAATCTGTCTAACCACCCCCCAAAAAATGCCTTAAAGAAGTGTTTAGTGATAGTTGGAAAAGAAAAGTTGAAAATAAACTAAAACTTCAAAAAGGTCAACTATCACTAAAGACTTCTTTAAGTTTTAGGTTATTTTCTACTTCTCCAGGGGGTTATCGTTTCCTCCAAACTGTTTTACCATTTGTTAGCAAGTTATGCAGCAATGTCCAAAATATATTCGCTAGCATGTTTGGAGAATGTAGGAATGCTAGTGGAAACAGATTGTATTAGTTAGCGGTTCATTGAAAAGCAAGCGATTCAGTAACTAGGTTTCCATCCAATTTGCGACAGAGTTTCATGCAAATATTCAAAAATCTGCATAAAACTATATTCGCATTTCACCACCAGAGATGTGTTTCCATCAAACTGACTTTTTGCAGATAAAAGGCTGTGCGTGATGATGTAGTGCACATAAAAATTAATTTTGCCGTTAAGTTCCCATGTACCGAATGAAAAAATAAATACAAAATAATGGGTTTCCATCGCATTTTCAACTCTACTGATGGTTTTGTAAGAAAAGCTGTTGCGTTATATAGCAAATGTGCCTACTCTGGTCATTGCACATGCGCTCTAGCCAACAGCTTGCAGATACAGTGCAGATTGGCTAGCTACATTATGAGACTATTATGGATAAGAGCGATTTATTTGTATTTGTCAAACATCGATCATCATGTCACCAGAATAAGACCCTCAATATTTATTGGAATGGAGCATCAAGCTCATCACCTTGCATATTCACCACCCTATGAAGTTCATCATAACTTATTTCATCTGTAGCCTAATAAACTGCATGCTTTCCCGAGTCGTAGTGGGAGGACCACACAACATATGACTCCAAGTTTACTTCGATATGATGGTTATTATATCAATATTTGCGCATAAAGGCTTTTCCACCGCTATTTCTCGCATAATTCATTTTACCAACACAAAAAGATCCCACCACGTCGAACAAACAAATTGTCTGTCGGCATTTATAAAATTGTACTGGCATTTTATATTACCATCAATCCGGTCGAGACTTTTTCCATGCGTCAGGTAATTAATCTGCATGAAATGGTTGGATGGAAAAGTGGTTACTGATAAACTCTTAACTTCGCTCCTTCTTAACCAGGAACTGTATCCTTAATACAAATAAATCTGGATTTAGACAGCTGCATACCCTGTTGTCAATGATCTTGCATGCTCTCTAGATGATTAAAAAAACAGCATTTTACTGCCTTGTTTATAGACCTATCTAATGCTTTCGACACTGTGGAACATTCATCGTTATTGCATACGTTGTCCTCTGTCGGACTTCATAGTAATGCATGTGGTTGATAAAATAAAATACCGTATGGATAGATCTCAATGTATTGTTGCTGACTGTGTCAAATCGCAATTGGCCCCACAAACTTACATATCTGCCCGTTGAATGGAGCCCAAATTCAGCGAGTCCCCTCATATAAATAAACCGTGGCATTTGGATCGATGACAAGTTGTCATTTAAAACACATGTTGATGAGCTAACAAAGAAACGGAGAATTTAACTGGGCTTCTTCTACAGAAATATAACGTACCTTTCACTTGATAGTAGGAAACTTGATAGTCGACTTTCCTGTCAGCCCTTTGCTATGGCGAAATCTATGAGCGCAGTTGCCTCTTCTTTAAAACCACTTGATGCTGTTTATCATTGCACCTTCTGCTTTATTACGGGTGACCGTTTTTGCGAACATAATTGTGATCTGTACCAGAAAATGGGCTAGACGTCTCTGGCAACATGGATAACGCAACATTGCCTTCTGTTAATTTACAAAGCTCTCGTGGAGAAACTACCATACTACCTCACATCGCTCCCGACATACAGAAGTATGAAATACCTTACTCTCTCCCAGGAATAGGTCATTCTTGAAATTATTTTTGTTGCTACCGATTTAGGTAAAACAGCCTTCAGTTTTTACGCACCACATACATGGAACACATTTCAGAATACTCTATAGTTGGACACACTAGTGTCTTTTGGTCATTTTAGGACATTGGGAAATTACCTGTTCACAGAGGAATGTACATGTTTTTTTAAAATTGTATTTCTGTATTTTTCATGCTCCCGCCTTTGATTGTATTAATTGTATCACTAATTCCCTATTATGTACTTTGAATGTTTATGATACATTATGTGAATCAAGAGACATCGGTGTCAATGGGACTTTGATTAATAAATAAAGATTTTATAATAATAATAATTAGGTCTCCCACGCTTTTGAGAAACGGATCAAATCTATATCCTCTAACAGTGCTACGTTCTCAAAGAAATTCTATCAAGCCGGATTATTCTGGATTTTGTTAAATAACCATGTTTGGAGGAAACAACAACACCTTAGGGAATATGAAAGGAATAAGTAACTACCCCTTTGAAGGTTCCCTTTCAATGGAAATGCCATTGAACACACATAAAGAGCATCTGACACCTTTTTAGCACCTCAGATACAACTGTAGTGCAGTTTTTTCCTTTATCTGCAATTGATTGAATTGAGGGCTTAGTATTATAAATTAGTATACAGGTAGATAAAAGTAGGAATGCCATACAGCATTGTCAGGGTGGAAGATGTAGGAAGCTGGGGAGTTGTCTACTATGAGAACTTTGTTGAGGTCCCTGCCCAGCCGACTCAGGTCTTTAACATAGTTTCCTTGGTGGAACACGCAGGACTCGCGGAAGAGACGGTGTCGGAAGGCACCCCATTTATCCAGCAGGTCGGAGACGGGATCGGCATACTGGCACAAAAGGAAAACACACACAACATTGTCCCTGATGGTATGTCACAGAAAGCTGTGTGTGTCTACACATTTCTTGTGAAATGTGTGTGTGTGTATGAATAACAGATTAGAATGGCAGGGCAAAGTTTCTAAGAATTCGAAACATAACATGTCAAACAAGCATCACAGTCTTAAAGGGGAAGTTTAATATTTTAGATGACCCCATCACTTCCATTGATTGTTAGCTAGCGGTGACTAAAGTTATCTGAAGTTTGTAGTGGCTGTTTAAAGAAAACCGAACCATGGATTAAAGTTTCTCCTGGCCTCTAGACTACTTTCAGGGTGAGGACCATCTAACATCGACATTGTAAAATCATGAACTTCCCTTTAAGGCTAGTACATGTTAGATCCTGTCAACCTTTAATTTAATTTAATAAAACCTTTAGTTATCTCAATCAGCATTCAGTAGCATTCAGTAGTGAACTCACCTTGGATAAACTGGCAGTGAACAGAACACACTCAAACAACTCCCCCATTCTTTTGAGATACTCATCCACATTGGGTCGCTTCAACACGTACACCTGAGGTAATAAAAACAAGACATGGGGAAATACTCCCGATTAATTACAAAAAGTTTACGTACATTTGTTTTTCCAAAGATGTTAATGCTTTAAACAACTTTTTAAATAGAGGATCTTAAATAATTTTTGAGCGAGAAATGCGCCTACTCCCCCTTATCTGTGACTTTTGGCTGCACCTTGCTTTGCGTGTCCAGCTTTACTGCTATGGGATGCAAGATGATATTGAGGTTAATGGATGGGACATAAAAAAGAGAGAGGGGAGAGACTGAAAGAGAGGGTAACACCTCTGATAGCATATCAGACTTCTTTAGAGATGAACAATCATAAATGCCATGGATTACCCTAAATGTCCATGTGGAATGGTCAAACAGGTGCAGCTAGGGTTGCAAAGCTACTGGTAATTTATCAAAGTTACCAGAATCTTCTGTAATTTTGGTAATTAACAGGTAATCTATGGCAATCTATGGTAATTTTGGTAATTTATACTTGAATAACTTTATTTTATTTTATTATTCACATATATATATATATTTATATACACTGAACAAAAATATAAATGCAACATGCAACAATTTCGATGATTATACTCAGTTACAGTTCATGTGGTCCTCTGTAGCTCAGCTGGTAGAGCACGGCGCTTGTAACGCCAAGGTAGTGGGTTCGATCCCCGGGACCACCCATACACAAAAATGTATGCACGCCCCGGCCCGCTAGCACATGCAAACTACAACTGTGCTCCCTGCTAGCTGTGCAGAAAGCACCAATTTGAACTGCTCTCGGACTCACATATTGCTGTTCACTGGACCTTATGATCACTCAGCTGCACAGCTGATGCCTGCTGGACTGTTCCTTTACACGGTACCCTGTCCTGTTTATTCTGTTTAGCCTCAGCCCAAACGTTGTCGCTATTACCAGTTGTTGTCTTAGCTCTCTCTAATAACACCTGTGATTGCTTTATGCCTCTCTCCCATGTCAATTATGCCTTGCCTATTGCTGTTTGGGTTAGTTCTTATTATACAATTTCACTGTAGAACCCCTAGTCCCTCTCAAACTGCCTCAAATAGTTCTTTGTTCCACCCCCCATACACGCCGAGACCGGCTCAATCGGTGCCTCCAGTGATGCTATCTCTTTCATTGTTACCCAACGCTTAGGGTTACCTGAACTGTACTCATATCCTTCCATATCCTTTTCTGTACATAATGCCCTGAATCTTTTCTACAACGCCCGGAGAACTGCCCCCTTTATTCTATGTACCCAACGCACTAGAAGACCAGTTCTTAAAGCCTTTAGTCGTATCCTTATTCTAGTCCTCCTCTGTTCCTCTGGTGATGTAGAGGCTAACCCAGGCCCTGCAGCCCCCAGTATCACTCCTATTCCCCAGGAGCTATCATTTGTTGACTTCTGTAACCGTAAAAGTCTTGGTTTTCTGCACGTAAATATCAGAAGCCTCCTTCCTAAGTTTGAGTTATTCACTGCGTTAGCACACTCCGCCAACCCTGATGTTCTAGCAGTGTCTGAATCCTGGCTTAGGAAGGCCACCAAAAATTCTGAAATTTCCATCCCCAACTATAACATTTTCCGTCTAGATAGAACTGCCAAAGGGGGTGGAGTTGCAATCTACTGTAGAGATAGCCTGCAGAGCTCTATCATACTATCCAGGTCTGTGCCCAAACAGTTTGAGCTTCTACTTCTAAAAATCCACCTTTCCAGAAATAAATCTCTCACTGTTGCCGCTTGCTACAGACCCCCCTCAGCCCCCAGCTGTGCCCTGGACACCATATGTGAATTGATTGCCCCCCATCTATCCTCAGAGTTCGTACTGCTTGGTGACCTAAATTGGGATATGCTTAACACCCCAGCCATCCTACAATCTAAACTAGATGCCCTCAATCTCACACAAATTATCAACGAACCTACCAGGTACAACCCTAAATCCGTAAACATGGGTACCCTCATAGATATCATCCTGACTAACTTACCCTCTAAATACACCTCTGCTGTCTTCAACCAGGATCTCAGCGATCACTGCCTTATTGCCTGCGTCCGTAACGGGTCCGCGGTCAAACGACCACCCCTCATCACTGTCAAACGCTCCCAAAAACACTTCAGCGAGCAGGCCTTCCTAATTGACCTGCCCCAGGTATCCTGGATGGATATAGATCTCATTCCGTCAGTAGAGGATGCCTGGTTGTTCTTTAAAAGTAATTTCCTCTCAATCTTAAATAAACATGCCCCATTCAAAAAATACAGAACTAAGAACAGATATAGCCCCTGGTTCTCCTCAGACTTGACTGCCCTTGACCAGCACAAAAACATCCTGTGGCGAACTGCATTAGCATCAAATAGCCCCCGCGATATGCAACTTTTCAGGGAAGTTAGGAACCAATATACACAAGCAGTTAGGAAAGCAAAGGCTAACTTTTTCAAACAGAAATTTGCATCCTGTAGCACTAACTCCAAAAAGTTTTGGGACACTGTAAAGTCCATGGAAAATAAGAGCACTTCCTCCCTGCTGCCCACTGCACTGAGGCTAGGAAACACTATCACCACCGATAAATCTACAATAATCGAGAATTTCAACAAGCATTTTGCTACGGCTGGCCATGCTTTCCACCTGGCTACCACTACCCCGGCCACCAGCTCTGCATCCTCCGCTGCAACTTGCCCATGCCCCCACCCCGCTTCTCCTTCACACAAATCCAGACAGCTGATGTTCTGAAAGAGCTGCAAAATCTGGACCCCTACAAATCATCTGGGCTAGACAATCTGGACCCTTTCTTTCTAAAATTAGCCGCCGAAATTGTCGCAACCCCTATTACTAGCCTGTTCAACCTCTCTTTCGTAACGTCTGAGATCCCCAGAGATTGGAAAGCTGCCGCGGTCATCCCCCTCTTCAAAGGGGGTGACACTCTAGATCCAAACTGTTACAGACCTATATCCATCCTGCCCTGCCTTTCAAAAGTTTTTGAAAGCCAAGTTAACAAACAGATCACCGACCATTTCGAATCCCAACGTACCTTCTCCGCTATGCAATCCGGTTTCCGAGCTGGTCATGGGTGCACTTCAGCCACGCTCAAGGTCCTAAACGATATTATAACCGCGATCGATAATAGACAGTACTGTGCAGCCGTTTTCATTGACCTGGCCAAGGCTTTTGACTCTGTCAACCACCGCATTCTTATTGGCAGACTAAATAGCCTTGGTTTCTCAAATGACTGCCTCGCTTGGTTCACCAACTACTTCTCAGATAGAGTTCAATGTGTCAAATCAGAGGGCCTGTTGTCTGGACCTCTGGCAGTCTCTATGGGGGTGCCACAGGGTTCAATTCTTGGGCCGACTCTTTTCTCTGTGTATATCAATGACATCGCTCTTGCTGCTGGTGACTCTCAGATCCACCTCTACGCAGACGACACCATTTTGTATACATCTGGCCCTTCATTGGACACTGTGTTAACAAACCTCCAAACGAGCTTCAATGCCATACAACACTCCTTCAGTAGCCTCCAACTGCTCTTAAACACTAGTAAAACTAAATGCATGCTCTTCAACCGAACGCTGCTTGCACCCGCCCACCCGACTAGAATCACTACTCTCGACGGGTCTGACCTAGAGTATGTGGACAACTACAAATATCTAGGTGTCTGGTTAGACTGTAAACTCTCCTTCCAGACTCACATTAAGAATCTCCAATCCAAAGTTAAATCTAGAATCGGTTTCCTATTTCGCAACAAAGCCTCCTTCACTCATGCTGCCAAACATGCCCTCGTAAAACTGACTATCCTACCGATCCTTGACTTCGGCGATGTCATTTACAAAATAGCCTCCAACACTCTATTCAGCAAATTGGATGTAGTCTATCACAGTGCCATCCGTTTTGTCTCCAAAGCCCCATATACTACCCACCACTGTGACCTGTACGCTCTTGTTGGCTGGTCCTCACTACATATTCGTCGCCAAACCCACTGGCTCCAGGCCATCTATAAATCACTGCTAGGCAAATCCCCGCCTTATCTTAGCTCATTGGTCACCATAGCAACACCCACCCGTAGTATGCGCTCCAGCAGGTATATCTCACTGGTCATCCCCAAAGCCAACACCTCCTTTGGCCGCCATTCCTTCCAGTTCTCTGCTGCCAATGACTGGAACAAATTGCAAAAATCTCTGAAGCTGGAGACACTTATCTCCCTCACTAACTTTAAGCATCAGTTGTCAGAGCACCTTACCGATCACTGCACCTGTACACAGCCCATCTGAAATTAGCCCGCCCAACTACCTCATCCCTATATTGTTATTTATTTTGCTCATTTGTACCCCAGTATCTCTATTTGCACATCATCTCTTGCACATCTATCATTCCAGTGTTAATACTAATTGTAATTATTTTGCACTATAGCCTATTTATTGCCTTACCTCCATAACTTGCTACATTTGCACACACTGTATATATATTTATTTCTGTTGTATTTTTGACTTTGTTTTGTTTTACCCCATATGTAACTCTGTGTTGTTGTTTTTATCGCACTACTTTGCTTTATCTTGGCCAGGTCGCAGTTGTAAATGAGAACTTGTTCTCAACTGGTTTACCTGGTTAAATGTGAAATAAAAAAAAATTAATAAAAAATAAGTCGCTTTGGATAAAAGCGTCTGCTAAATGGCATATTTATTTATTTTATTTATTTATATAAGGAAATCAGTCAATTAAAATAAATAAATTAGGCCCTAATCTATGGATTTCACACTACTGGGCAGGGGCGCAGCCATGGGTGGACCTGGGAGGGCATAGGCCCACCAACTGGGGAGCAATGCCCACCCACTTGGAAGCCAGGCCCAGCCAATCAGAATGAGTTTTTCCCCACAAAAGGGCATTATTACAGAGAAATACTCCTCAGTTGCATCAGCTGTCCGGGTGGCTGGTCTCAGACGATTCCGCAGGTGAAGATGCCGGATGTGGAGGTCCTGGGCTGGACCTTCAAATTCTCTAAAACGACGTTGGAGGCGGCTTACGGCAGAGAAATGACATTCAATTCTCTGGCAACAGCTTTGGTGGACATTCCTGCAGTCAGCATGCCAATTGCACACTCCTTCAAAACTTGAGACATCTGTGGCATTGTGTTGTGTGACAAAACTGCACATTTTAGAGTGGCCTTTTATTGTCCCCAGCACAAGGTGCACCCGTGTAATGATCATGCTGTTTATCAGCTTCTTGACATGCCACACCTTTCAGGTGGATGGATTATCTTGGCAAAGGGGGATTTGCTCACTAACAGGGATGTAAACAAATTTGTGCAAAACATTTTAGATAATTAAGCTTTTTGTGCGTATGGAACATTTCTGGGATCTTTTATTTCTGCTCATGAAACATGGGACCAACACTTGACATGTTGCGTTTATATTTTTGTTCAGTATAGTATTCATTTTTTATATCTGTCCATATTGTCCATGAGTTTCTAGTGGATAAAGCATATGTTTCAAGAGAAAATAGCCTAATTAATGAAAAAAGCATCTTATCAACAATGGCATTATTTTCAATTAACTCTGCAACTCTTCAAACTTTAGGATTTTTCCCAACTGCCACCAGTTTGGCACCAAAACGTTTAAAAGTAAAATAAAATAAGTGTACAAAACATATATAAATGATATTTCATTCTGAAACCCAGAAATATTAAACACAAATGGTTTCACTAAGTTAATGGTTTATATCAGGGATCGGCAATTTAGCGGCCTGACCCTCGGATCAATTTCCCCTCAATCAGGTTCTCAACTTACTGTTGCGAGGTAGAATAGTAGAACACAAGGTGCAATTTCGACATTTGGTTGTGCATAAAAATATTTTCTCTTGTTATCTCAGTCACTGTTTTTCACTCAATTAGCCCATTTCAGCTAAAATTTTTTAGATTGGTAAATTAGTCTAGTGGCCAGCTATCTAAACTTGTAGTAATTAAGGTCGAATTAGAGTTCAGATTCGTTGTGGCCCCCACCCCCATCAAAGTTGCACATCCCTGGTTTATATTAAGGATAATGCTTTACAGCTTTGTAATTATATATTTAAAAAATCTTATTTTATTATTGTATATATTGTACATGTGATAAGGCCACACAGAGGGCCATAGATAATTACAGACACCTGTAATAATCTGAAGTACCCAAAAGGTCACCAGAAGTAACCTTGTAAAATTCCCCAAAATCCTTGAAAGTTATACAAATTCTAATCGTTTACTGGTACACTTCAAAAGTTAACAGTAATATACCCTCCCTTTGCAACTCTAGGTGCCGCCTATTATCTGTATATGGAAGGATATGCCTGTCAATATAGACATTTCACTCCATTTCTGCTCACATCCATTTCTCGAAAGAGCATGACGCTATCAGCCTTGTTCCTGAACCAAGTCATCCTGAATTGGCTGTCCCCACTTAAACAAGCCTATCCTGGATTACTTGAAACAGACCCAGGCCTGGAGTATAAAACAGGAGTGTTCTTCTGTCTTCTGTCTGGAGTTAGCCTTTAAACTAAGCAAAACTGCATCAGTTCCTGCAATCTCCCGATGTGATTTCCAATGGACTGGGCAGAATCTGCGCTAGGGACTAAGATTGATGGGCCCAGTGATTTCTAAGAAGCCAGTCATACTTCCTTGTTTCGTCAGCCCACAGAAATAGCCACCTGCTGCTCGGACCCGTCAACAGAGAAGGCCAAAGCTCTGTCAGATTGCTAGCCTAGTGCACTAGCGCTATAGCACAAACAGTGTCACTGAGTAAACAATGGTGGAAAAAAAAGTCCACTTTGAACTAAAGAAAAACTTTCGTAACGAAGGAGAGGCATTCCAACATAGCACGGATATCACGGAGATTAGATTCTATAATTTTATTTGAGGTCATGGCCACTTTACTGCTGCTTTCATTGTGGATCTATGAAGGACAGAACCTGTGAAAAAGGCTAAGAATTGAAACTCAAAAGAGTCACACTTACCTGGTGAATGGTTCCATCAATTTCCACTGGAATGGTCAAATCAGCATTGTTCATAGGCTGTTGGGAGCAAGAACATACCATTTAAGAATCAAGAACAGAACAGTTTGTTTGAATTAAGTCATTAAACGTGCTTTACAAGCTTGTACGGAACACATTAACTCTAGTTTGTGGGGGGTTTTATATTATAAAAAATATGTTTGAATGAAGTCATTAAACATGTGCTTTACAAGCTTGTAAAGACTGTAAAGCGAAATTAAAGGCTCACCATCAGCGACTTCAGAAATAACAGTATGTAAGTAATATGTTTCCATTTGAGTCACCGAAATATACTGTATTTGACAACACCCATAAAAGTGTGATTTATTTAGATGGTTCTTATACCTAAAATATGTCTCTCAAATGTTAGGTTAATCACGAGTATGTGCTATGTAGGACACCATGACCTAAATTCATAGTCTATTCATAGTCTATGAAGTAATGTTGAGTCTAGCATTACATACATCACACATTACATACGTATACAGTGCCTTCAGAAAGTATTCACACCCCTTGACTTTTTCCACATTTTGTTGTGTTACAGCCTGAATTTAAAATTGAGAATTTTATGTCACTGGCCTACACACAATACCCCATAATGTCAAGTGGAATTATTCATTACAAATTAAGCTACAATAAGTATTCAACCCCTTTGTTACAGCAAGCCTAAATAAGTTCAGGAGTACAAATTTGCTTAACAAGTCACATAATAAGTTGCATGGACTCACTGTGTGTGCAATAATAGTGTTTAACATGATTTTTTTAATGACTACCTCATCTCTGTACCTCACACATTATATGTAAGGGCAATCAGTCGAGCAGTGAATTTCAAACAAAGATTCAACCACAAAGACCAGGGAGATTTTCCAGTGCCTCGCAAAGAAGGGGATCTATTGGTAGATGGGTAAAAACTAAAAAGTTGACATTTAACATCCCTTTGAGCATGGTGAAGTTATTAATTACTTTGGATTGTGTGTCATTACACTCAGTCACTACAAAGACACAGGTGTCCTTCCTAACTCAGTTGCCGGAGAGGAAGGAAACCGCTCAGGGATTTCACAATGAGGCCAATGGTGACTTTAAAACAGTTACAGTGATAGGAGAAAACTGAAGATCAATCAACCAAAATTATAGTTACTCCACACTGTTAACCTAATTGACAGAGTGAAAAGGAAGCCTGTACAGAATAAAAAATATATACAGTATATATTTAAAAAATGCATCCTGCAACAAGGCACTAAAGTAATACTGCAAAAAATTTGGCAAAGCAATTACCTTTTGGTCCTGAATATAAAGTGTTATGTTTGGGGCAAATCCAATACAACACATTACTGAGTTTTTTTTATTTATTTATTTTTAGTCATTTAGCAGACGCTCTTATCCAGAGCAACTTACAGTTAGTGAAACATTAATTTTTTTATTTATTTTTTTATACTGGCCATTCCCTCCCCTACCCTGGACGACGCTGGGCCAATTGTGCGCCGCCCATGAGTCTCCCGGTCGCGGCCGGCTGCGACAGAGCCTGGATTCGAACCAGGATCTCTAGTGGCACAGTTAGCACTGCGATGCAGTGCCTTAGACCACTGCGCCACTCAGGAGATGAGTACCACTCTCCATACTATGCTCTTCAAGCATAGTGGTGGCTGCATCATGTTATGGGTATACTTGTAATCGTTAAGGACTGGGGAGTTTTTCAGGATAAAAAATAAATGGAATGGAGGTAAGCACAGGCAAAATGTGAATGTTCCTGAGTGGCTGAGTTACAGTCTTGACTGAAATCTATGGCAAGACCTGGAAATGGTTGTTTAGCAATGATCAACAACCAATTTGACAGATCTTGAAGAATTTTGAAAATAATAATGGGCAAATGTTGCACAATCCAGGTGTGGAAAGCTCTTAGAGACTTACCAAGAAAGAGTCACAACTGTAATTGCTGCCAAAGTTGCTTCCACAAAGTATTGACTCAGGGGTGTGAATACTTATGTAAGTGAGATATTTCTGTATTTCATTTTCAATAAATTTGCTGTCATTATGGGGTATTACTGTGTGTAGATGGGTGACAGAAATTGTTTGAATTCAGGCTGTAACACAACAAAATGTGGAATACGTCAAGGGGTATGAATGCTTTCTGAAGGCACTGTAGTTATATGCATGGGTTTTGTTAAATACACATAGTTAGAATGTTTTCAAGGTTTTACTTGAACATTTTTGACTCCATGCCACGTCGGACACCATGTCAGAATTTGACACTAGCAAATTTTGGAGAGGCACTTGCTTTTGCTCTGTGGAAGTTCTACCAGGACACCAGACTTGTTCACATCACTAGCTTCCTCATGGTCATTGGTTCACATGCATAGATAACAAAATAATTTCAAATCCATTTAAACAGATGTCAGTGATTCAAAATGTCCCGGTTTTCAATGTCCCCTCTCTTACTCCCCACCACTAGCATGTAGTAGCCACCCAGACATCCAGGTCAGTGAGCACAGGGTTGATGCCAATCTGAAATCACTCGTAAATAAAACAATAAGACACTTTTTTAAAACTACTCTGTAACATGTAATTAAAGATGATTGAAAATCAAGTTTTTGACATTTCTATTGGTATTCTAGTTGAATACATACACCCAAATTTACAGTATTACTCTGAAATCAATAAAAGTTGCCATATTATGGAAGCAAACAAGCCAACTTAAATTAGAATAGGACAAACTGTATATCTCTCAGAGAATATGACATGAAATATGTTTCTCAGAGAATCAAAATATTTCATTTACAATAAGTTCCGCTCTATTACTTTTTTGGACAATCAATCCAGTTATATACACACTACACCTTGTGACTCGCCTTCAATCAAATGCTGCCACTTTCATTGACAGTTTAAACCTGTGGCCTATCTGGTGACACCCTTTGGGACAGACTGTGATTAGATTGCCAAGACCACCTGTGGTAGGCAAGAGCACATTATGCCCATTATGCAGCCAATCGTGGATATACCGAGTAGCACACAGTGAGGGAAAAAACTATTTGATCCCCTGCTGATTTTGTACGTTTGCCTACTGACAAAGAAATTATCAGTCTATAATTTTAATGCTAGGTTTATTTGAACAGTGAGAGACAGAATAACAACAAATACATCCAGAAAAATGCATGTCCAACATTTTATAAATTGATTTGCATTTTAATGAGGGAAATAAGTATTTGACCCCCTCTCAATCAGAATGATTTCTGGCTCCCAGGTGTCTTTTATACAGGTAACGAGCTGAGATTAGGAGCACACTCTTAAAGGGAGTGCTCCTAATCTCAGTTTGTTACCTGTATAAAAGACACCTGTTCACAGAATAAATCAATCAATCAGATTCCAAACTCTCCACCATGGTCAAGACCAAAGAGCTTTCCAAGGATGTCAGGGACAAGATTGTAGACCTACACAAGGCTGGAATGGGCTACAAGACCATCGCCAAGCAGCTTGGTGAGAAGGTGACAACAGTTGGTGGATTATTCGCAAATGGAAGAAACATAAAAGACTGTCAATCTCCCTCGGCCTGGGGCTTCATGCAAGATCTCACCTCGTGGAGTTGCAATGATCATGAGAACGGTGAGGAATCAGCCCAGAACTACACGGGAGGATCTTGTCAATGATCTCAATGCAGCTGGGACCATAGTCACCAAGAAAACAATTGGTAACACACTACGCCGTGAAGGACTGAAATCCTGCAGCGCAAGGTCCCCCTACTCAAGAAAGCACATATACAGACCCGTCTGAAGTTTGCCAATGAACATCTGAATGATTCAGAGGAGAACTGGGTGAAAGTGTTGTGGTCAGATGAGACCAAAATTGAGCTCTTTGGCATCAACTCAACTCGCCGTGTTTGGAGGAGGAGGAATGCTGCCTATGACCCCAAGAACACCATCCCCACCGTCAAACATGGATGTGGAAACATAATGCTTTGGGGGTGTTTTTCTGCTAAGGGGACAGGACAACTTCACCGCATCAAAGGGACGATGGACGGGGTCATGTACCATCAAATCTAGGGTGAGAACCTCCTTCCCTCCGCCAGGGCATTGAAAATGGGTCGTGGATGGGTATTCCAGCATGACAATGACCCAAAACACACGGCTAAGGCAACAAAGGAGCGGCTCAAGAAGAAGCACATTAAGGTCCTGGAGTGGCCTAGCCAGTCTCCAAACCTTAATCCCATAGAAAATCTGTGGAGGGAGCTGAAGGTTCGAGTTGCCAAACGTCAGCCTCGAAACCTTAATGACTTGGAGAAGATCTGCAAAGAGGAGTGGGACAAAATCCCTCCTGAGATGTGTGCAAACCTGGTGGCCAACTACAAGAAACGTCTGACCTCTGTGATTGCCAACAAGGCTTTTGCCACCAAGTACTAAGTCATGTTTTGCAGAGGGGTCAAATACTTATTTCCCTCATTAAAATGCAAATCAATTTATAACATTTTTGACATGCGTTTTTCTGGATTCTTTTTGATGTTATTCTGTCTCTCATTGTTCAAATAAACCTACCATTAAAATTATAGACTGATCATGTCTTTGTCAGTGGGCAAACGTACAAAATCAGCAGGGGATCAAATACTTTTTTCACTCACTTTAGATAAGAATACTCGCTAGAAGCAAGTTTAATAGTAACTGCAGTTGATTACCTAAATAAACATTAATTAACATCAATTAATATTCCAAATAAATCTCATCACAATGGATACATGACACAAATATAGGAAGGTTGTAAACAGGAAGGGGCATATCAGACAATATTTGATATGGACTATAATTTCAATACCAGGTGTAAAAGGTTACCTGGAATTCAATTGTATTCTTTAAAGGGATAGTGTGAGAGTTTGACAATTACTTACCCAGAGTCAGATGAACTCATGGATACCATTTTTATGTCTGTGTGCAGTTTGAAGGAAGTGAAGGTTGTTTCTAAAGCCATTTGCATCATCGCAATGACTGGAAGTCTATGGGATCAACTAGCTGATTGTGCATACTCTAGACACTAGTTAGACCTCTCACTCAAACCCTTGTCATTTTTGTGTCTCATGTTGCACCTACCCCAAACTTTCCATGACTATTGTTATTATGTTACAGAATTTATTTAGAGTATTTTCAGATTTTGTAATCAACAAATGCTGCGAAAAGTACAGTAAATGTAAAAAAAAAAAAAAAAATCAACAGTGTGATGTTTGGATTCAGTCTTGTGTCAAGTGAACCGTTGGGTCCTCACTTTTGATCTGATAATTTCCCCATAATATCCAAAGTGTTCCCTTTCAATTTCTACCATGGTTATGCATATTTGTCTCATATTTATTCTGCTAGAAACGTTAAAATGTTGCCCTATCCATGTAGGCCAATTACCACAAGTGTAAAGGGTTAATAAATTCATATTGGTATGGACAAAGAAAAACAAAACAATGCTCTTTATCAAATAAATTATACTTTTTTATTACGCTTTACTAATTAGTAATAAAGAGAGAGTGGAAATCAATCAAGTATACTCTGTTAGCATTTGTCCTCAAAGAGCAGGTCGCTCATGTCAGCTTACCTTGAATGAACTGTGCACTAACGTTTCATCCAAATCAATCACCACACAGATCTTCCCTGAGTCTTTTGACTTGATTTGAGGTAGCAGAGGTTTTGCCGGGACCTGAAAATAAATAGTTAGATGTTAGGTCAATGAGCAGCCAAATGATGAAAAAAATTACTTGTTTCAAAATATTCAAAAAAATTGAAAAGTGGTGTGTGCATATGTATTCACCCCCTTTGCTATGAAGCCCCTAAATAATATATGGTACAACCAATTAGCTTCAGATGTCACATAATTAGTTAAATAAAGTCCACCTGTGTACAATCTAAGTGTCACATGATCTGTCACATGATATCAGTATATATACACCTGTTCTGAAAGGCCCCAGAGTCTGCAACACCACTAAGCAAGGGGCACCACCAAGCAAGCGGCACCATGAAGACCAAGGAGCTCTCCAAACAGGTCAGGGACTAAGTTGCGGAGAAGTACAGATCAGGGTTGGGTTATTAAAAAATATCAGAAACTTTGAACATCCCACGGAGCACCATTAAATCCATTATTAAAAAATGGAAAGAACCACAACAAACCTGCCAAGACAGGGCCGCCCACCAAAACTCGCGGACCAGGCAAGGAGGGCATTAATCAGAGAGGCAACAAAGACCAAAGATAACCCTGAAGGAGCTGCAAAGCTCCACAGTGGAGATTGGAGTATCTGTCCATAGTACCACTTTAAGCCGTACACTCCACAGAGCTGGGCTTTATGGAAGAGCGGCCAGAAAAAAGCCATTGCTTAAAAAATAAATAAGCAAACACGTTTGGTGTTCGCCAAAAGGCATATGGGAGACTCCCCAAACATATGGAAGAAGGTACTCTGGTCAGATGAGACTAAAATTGAGCTTTTTGGCCATCAAGGAAAACGTTATTTCTGGCGCAAAACCAACACCTCTCATCACCCCGAAAACACCATCCCCACAGTGAAGCATGGTGGTGGCAGCATCATGCTGTGGGGATGTTTTTCATCGGCAAGGACTAGGAAACTGGTCAGAATTGAAGGAATGAGATGGTGCTAAATAGAGGGAAATTCTTGAGGGAAACCTGTTTCAGTCTTCCAGAGATTTGAGACTGGGAAGGAGGTTCACCTTCCAGCCGGAAAATTACCCTAAGCATACAGCTAAAGCAACACTTGAGTGGTTTAAGGGGAAACAGTTAAATGTATTGGAATGGCCTAGTCAAAGCCCAGACCTCAATCCAATTGAGAATGGTATGACTTAAAGATTGCTGTACAGTAGCGGAACCCATCCAACTTGAAGGAGCTGGATCAGTTTAGTCTTGAAGAATGGGCAAAAATCCCAGTGGCTAGATGTGCCAAGCTTATAGAGACATACCCCAAGAGACTTGCAGCTGTAATTGCTGCAAAAGGTGGCTCTACAATGTATCGAATTTGGGTTGGGGCAGGGGGGGGGTGAATAGTTATGCACGCTCAGGTTTTCTGTTTTTTTGCCTTATTTCTTGTTTGTTTCACAATAGAAAATATGTTGCATCTTCAAAGTGGTAGGCATGTTGTGTAAATCAAATGATACAACCCCCCCAAAAATCAAATTTAATTCCAGGTTGTAAGGCAACAAAATAGGAAAAATGCCAAGGGGGGTGAATACTTTTGCAAGCCACTGTAAATACCACCTGTTGTGCCAAGCAATAAGAACCTTATGTTCAGCCATATCCTCCTCTATTTTAGTTGTGTTCTCACAAATTCAATCCAAAGCCAACACATGTAAAGCTAACACTAAATTAACAATTTGTGAAAAATTAAAACATTAAAAAATAGGCCTAATATTTAGACAAACACATTTCACTATTTTCTCTTGTAAATTTCAGTTTGTTGTCACTCCATGAGAAACGTTCATATTCCACACTTCTGAAATTTCTAAACGTAAAACTGATCAAATTAGGTGCATGTCACAGCTATTCCAGTGCATTTCAAGCAAGGTGCAAAGACCTTGAAATACCTGTTCTCTAGGCAGGATGCAGTACTCGCATTCACAGGACTGCAAGGGCTCCTCGTCACTCAGCTCCTCCTCAGACTCATCTCTAAGTTGTTCAGAGGCCACAATCTTAAAAAATTCATGCGACTCCGTTTTCTCATCCAGCTCACTTTGTTCAGAGGGCTCTGTTTGTTCGGCATGATGTGCAAGTGGCTCGCTGTCTATTGAGTCTTTACTATGTTCAGCACCATCGAGAGGGAGACTTGTTTTCTCAGACACCTGCTCTGAAAGGTCCTCTGAATCTGGGCGTTGGAGATGATCTGAGACCCCATTGTGTTCCTCCCAGTTCTGAGACAGATATGGTGTGTTCAGCTGCTCACACAATTCAGATGACATGTTTTGCTCATCTATCTCTTCGGAAGAGGTTGTGGAGGAATCAGTTTGATCCCAATTGAATTCAATACCATCAGGCATAGCTGGTTTGCTTCCTTCAGTGCATAATGCAGTGTCTTTCGTTATAACCTCAAATGATTCAGGAGATTCATTCTCCTCAGCACATGGAGCATCATTCTTTCCCTCCTCAGTGCAGACTCCATCAGACTCAGGAGTGCTGGCATAATCCAATCTTTCATTACACCGATCATGAGAGTCTTCTTCAGTACAGAATCCATTAGCTTCTTGATTAACATTAGATTCATTGGCTTCACGTTGATATTCATTGTGCTCTTCAGCACTTGGTTCACAGGCCTCAGTGCATAGTGCATTATTTTCCCCTTCGGTTGAGAATTGTGTATGTTCACTGCCATATGCATCGCAATCTTTATCACACGGCTCATAGGATCCATAAGCTTTGTATAATTTGTCTTCTGCGATGCATATTGTCTGGATTTCTTCATCACAGATTCTCTCTTCTTCAAAGCATGGTACACCAGTTTGATCTTTTTGACCCTCATATGCTTCATCATCTTCAACAGAAGACACGTCAGAAGAGGATCCATGAGAAGCTTCCTCTGCACTGTGTTCGTCGTACTTGTTGTCCTCATCAACTAAGGGTCCATTGACCTGAGCGTCACCAGCTTTATTTTCAGCAATGCAAAGTTCATCTTCCTCAACAAAGGGCTCATAGGCCTCAGCCTCTATAGCATTGTCTTCTGCTACAAAAGCTTCATACAACTCAACTTCATAAGCTGTGGCTTCTTCAAAACAAGATTCACATGATTCCTCATCTGCAAAGGATCCAGAGGCTGATGCCTCATCATCAGCACAGTCTACATTAAATTGTCGATCCTCAGCACAAGCATCATAAGATTCATCAACTTCTTCCACTTCTTGACTAAAAACTTCAAGCGTTTTTTTTGCGCAGGGCATTTGTGTTTCTTCCACATTCATAATGGACACATGAGTTTTGTGTTGTTCGAAAAACAGCTCATGCACCCCTCCCCCTTCAAAACAGGAGGTATAAGGTCGCCTTTGAGCAAAAGCACAAGTATCCTCTTTATCAAATAAGTCAAAGAATTCCTCAACAACCACTGCATCCGAGTGAGGTTTGTCTTCATCAGCATTGCTTTCCTCACATTCTACCACATCTGCACAATTATCAAATGATTCCCATATCTCTGAATAGAATTGAGTTTGATCATCACTGGATTTGTCCTGTGCTCCTTCTTCCACTAATGCTTCATATGATTCAACTGAATCAGTTAATGGGTCTGCATTTATACTGTCATATATCAAAGATTCAAAAGACCTTGTTTCAATGGATGAGCACTCAGAAGACTTGTCTTCCTCATAATAAAATGAACTGCTAGGCTCATAGCATTTGTCATTTGTGCTTTGATGTTGACAAAGATAGCTCTCACAAGAATTACATCGCTCAGACTGTTCACACTGCAGTTCACAGTGTCCAGAGGATATATCATATTCAGCAGATTGATGATTGCTTTGTTCAGCAAGCAGAGTTTGCTCAGAAGGTTCATGAACTGCAGAGATCTGTCTACTTTCATTGGGAGCATCTTGTTCAGCATAGTGTTGAGAAGGCATGTTCAAATCTGAAGAACGTATAGGTTCTAATATAATGCAAAACTCAGAGTCAAAAAGCCCACAGATTTCAATTTGTTGAACTGTTGGCTCAGAGGGCTTTAAATTCTCGTCAAATGGCTTTGTAGTCTCATTATATTCTGCTGAGTGTTCAATATGATTGTATTTTTCTGAATACTCACAAATTCCAGTACAGTGCTCAAATGTTATGATTGATTCATTCGGTTCAGAGATATCAGGAATGAAGTCAGATATCTTACATTGCTCTAAAAACTCAGAGTTCTCAGCAGGTTCACTTGACTCAAAGGAGTTACAGTGTTGATCAGAAGACTTGCATTGTTCAGATGACTGGAAGCATTCTGTGAAATGTTCACAGTGTTGGCTAAATACATTAGCACAGTGCTCAGAGGACTTGCTGAAGTCAAAGCACTCACAATGTTGAGAACATTCTTCAAATGATTTGCTTAACTCAGAAGACTTATCCTGAGTAGTGTGCTTGTGGAGAACAGGATAGTCCTCACAAGGCTTGTTGATGCATTGCTCAAAGCCCCCAGAATGTCCATTATAATGCACAGAAGGTTTGCTCTCTTCTGCATGTTCTCCATTCATGCTGTAATGATCGACACTATGCACAGCGGGATCCATTTGTCCATTGACCTTTTGGTGTTCAGTATAGTCCAAAGAGTTTTTTATTTCGTCCGAAATAATGCAGGGTTCAGCAGAATGCGCAGAAGACCCATTTGAATCCATGGCTTCAATTAGTTCAGACACCTCGCAGTGTTCAGCAGGCATGTTTGCTTTTGGAAAATGTGTAAAAAGATTTGCTTTGACCAGAGTGCCTTTTCAGGTACACAGGGAGCTGACTTTCTCGAATAGGTTTGTAGTGTTCAGAGGTTTTGCACTTTTCCAAGCATAGAGAGAGAGACTTGTTTTCTCTAGGCAGTCCAGAGGGCTGGCAGCTCACAGACTGCTCCTTTGGTAGTGGTGGCTTGCACTGCTGGGGGTATCCACAGCCCGCCTGAGACACCAGCAGCAGAGTACACGTTGACTTGACAGGTCACAACCACACTGAACCTAGCACAGGGCCCCCTCTCCTTCAGACCTAGACATTTATTTTGGGGATTCAAGAGACGTGACAAATAACTCCTGGAATATCAAATCACTATAAAAAGCTGAAGTAAGGCATAAATCTGAAACTGACACCCGAGATGCGTCTTGATCACCTGATCTGTCCGTAGCGAGTTAACTGCCATGTTGTTTGTCAAGTGTTCACATAGAGTCATGGGCGGCTTTGTCATCTGCCAAAAAATTTGAATTGACTTTTATAATCTCCTGTTTAGTAGGGAATGCTGTAAAGCAGGTATGGGCAACAGCGGAAGTGCAATTCTAACCGTTTTGCTATGGGGTGTGGAGAAAATGTTGCTGTTTAAAGAAAGTTTGTTGCAATTCTACACATTTTGCCATGGGATGGAAAGAAGATTTAGCAATTTTATAACATTGGGCAGAGAGGGAAATTTGCTGTTTTACCGCAACATTTGGGAAATTCTAGACATTTTGCCATAGGGTGGAGAGAAATGTTTTTAACATTTTACATTTACATTTTAGTCATTTAGCAGACGCTCTTATCCAGGGTGACTTACAGTTTAGTGAAAACATATTTTTTTATACTGGCCGGCCCCCGTGGGAATCGAACCCACAACCCTGGTGCTGCAAACGCCATGCTCTATCAACTGAGCTACATCCCTGCCGGCCATTGCCTCCCCTACCCTGGACGACGCTGTATGATATTTGAATGAGACTGACTAACAAAATCAATTGGGCCCTCTGGGTGGTAATTCAACCATGATTACTACAAGTTTAGATAGCTGGCCGCTAGACTAACTTACCAATCAAAATGTTAACATGGGCTAATTGAGTAACAAGAGAAAGACTGTTGATGCACAACCAAATTTCAAAATGGTACCTTGTGTATACTACTATTCTAACTTGAAACAGTAAGTTGAGACCCCGACTAAGTTCAAATATAAACAGTTGAAGTCGGAAGTTTACATACACTTAGGTTGGAGTCATTAAAACCAGTTTTTCAACCACTCCACACATTTCTTGTTAACAAACTATGGTTTTAGCAAACTATGGTTTTGGCAAGTCAGTTAGGACATCTACTTTGTGCATGACACAAGTAATTTCAACAACTGTTTACCAACAGATTATTTCACTTATAATTCACTGTATCACAATTCCAGTGGGTCAAAACTTTACATACACTAAGTTGACTGTGCCTTTAAACAGCTTGGAAAATTCCAGAAAATGATGTCATGGCTTTAGAAGCTTCTGAAAGGCTAATTGACATAATTTGAGTCAATCTGAGGTGTACCTGGGGATGTATTTCAAGGCCTACCTTCAAACTCAGTGCCTCTTTGCTTGACATAATGGGAAAATCAAAAGAAATCAGCCAAGACCTCAGAAGAAAAATTGTAGACCTCCACAAGTCTGGTTCATCCTTGGGAGCAATTTCCAAACACCTGAAGGTACCACGTTCATCTGTACAAACAATAGTACGCAAGTATAAACACCATGGGACCACACAGAAAATCTGGACTATCCAAATAAAGTGTGACCCAGGAAATCAACTCTAAAAACGACATGGGCAGAGAGAAAGCATTAAGATAGTATTCAGTTGTCCTTATGTTACCTCACAGTGGTTGTTTCACAGTAGGTGGCAAAAGGTTATAGCCATGACTTACGTAACAAAGTCAGATGCCCAACTAAGTTATGGAAATACAGTACCAGTCAAAAAGTTGGACACACCTACTAAGTCATTCACAGTTACATTTAAGTCATTTAGCAGACTAATTCCAGGGTTTTCCTTTATTTTTACTATTTTCTACATTGTAGAATAATATCGAGGACATCAAAACTATGAAATAACACATATGGAATCATGTAGTAACCAAAAAAGTGTTAAACAAATCAAAATATATTTTATATTTGAGATTCTTTAAATAGCAATCCTTTGACTTAAAGACAGCTTTGCACTCTCTTGGCATTTTTTCAACCAGCCTCACCTGGAATGCTTTTCCAACAGTCTTGAAGGAGTTCCCACATATGCTGAGCACTTGTTGGCTGCTTTTCCTTCACTCTGTGGTCCCACTCATCCCAAACCATCTCAATTTGGTTGAGGTCGGAGGATTGTGAAGGCCAGGTCATCTGATGCAGCACTCCATCACTCTCTTTCTTGGTGAAATAGCCCTTACACAGCCTGGAGGTGTGTTGGGTCATTGTCCTGTTGAAAAACAAATGATATTCCCACTAAGCCCAAACCAGACGGGATGGCGTATCGCTGCAGAATGCTGTGGTAGCCATGCTGGTTGAGTGTGCCTTGAATTCTAAAAAAGATCACTGACAGTGTCACCTGCAAAGCACCCTCACACCATAACACTTCTTCCTCCATGCTTTACGGTGGGAACTACACATGCGGAGATCATCTGTTCACCCACAACGCGTCTCACAAAGACACGGCGGTTGGAACCAAAAATCTCCAATTTGGACTCCAGACCAAATTACATATTTCCACTGGTCTAATATCTATTGCTCGTTTTTCTTGGCCCAAGCAAGTCTCTTTTTCTTATTGGTGTCCTTTAGTGGTGGTTTATTTGCACCAAATCGACCATGAAGGCCTGATTCACACAGTCTCCTCTGAACAGTTGAGATGTGTCTGTTACTTGAACTCTGTGAAGCATTTATTTGGGCTGCAATCTCTGAGGTGCAGTTAACTCGAATGAACTTATCCTCTGCAGCAGAGATAACTCCTGGTCTTCCATTCCTGTGGCAGTCCTCATGAGAGCCTGTTTCATCTAGCGCTTGATGGTTTTTGCGACTGCACTTGAATAAATGTTAAAAATTCTACAAATCTTCCGGATTAAATGACCTTCATGTCTTAAAGTTATGATGAACTGTTGTTTCTCTTTGCTTATTTGAGCTGTTCTTGTCATAATATGGACTTGGTCTTTTACCAAATAGGTGACTACCTCATGAACCTGGTTGAGAGAATCCCAAGAGTGTGCAAAGCTGTCATCAAAGCAAAGGGTGGCTATTTGAAGAATCTCATATACAAAATATATTTTGATTTGTTTAACACTATATGATTCCATTTGTGTTATTTTATGGTTTTGATGTCTTCACTAATATTTTACGATGTAAAAAATAGTAAAAATAAATAAAATAAAGCCTAGTGTGCAAAATAAAAGAAAGAAAGAAAAAACTGCTGATTTCCTACGATTTTGAATCATCAGGTGGAATCTTTCAGCCCATATTCTTTAAATAATCTTAGAAGAAAAATACAGTGGGGAAAAAAGGTATTTAGTCAGCCACCAATTGTGCAAGTTTTCCCACTTAAAAAGATGAGAGAGGCCTGTAATTTTCATCATAGGTACACGTCAACTATGACAGACAAATTGAGAAGAAAAAAATCCAGAAAATCACATTGTAGGATTTTTTATGAATTTATTTGCAAATTATGGTGGAAAATAAGTATTTGGTCACCTACAAACAAGCAAGATTTCTGGCTCTCACAGACCTGTAACTTCTTCTTTAAGAGGCTCCTCTGTCCTCCACTCGTTACCTGTATTAATGGCACCTGTTTGAACTTGTTATCAGTATAAAAGACACCTCTCCACAACCTCAAACAGTCACACTCCAAACTCCAATATGGCCAAGACCAAAGAGCTGTCAAAGGACACCAGAAACAAAATTGTAGACCTGCACCAGGCTGGGAAGACTGAATCTGCAATAGGTAAGCAGCTTGGTTTGAAGAAATCAACTGTGGGAGCAATTATTAGGAAATGGAAGACATACAAGACCACTGATAATCTCCCTCGATCTGGGGATCCACGCAAGATCTCACCCCGTGGGGTCAAAATGATCACAAGAACGGTGAGCAAAAATCCCAGAACCACACGGGGGGACCTAGTGAATGACCTGCAGAGAGCTGGGACCAAAGTAACAAAGCCTACCATCAGTAACACACTACGCCGCCAGGGACTCAAATCCTGCAGTGCGAGACGTGTCCCCCTGCCTAAGCCAGTACATGTCCAGGCCCGTCTGAAGTTTGCTAGAGTGCATTTGGATGATCCAGAAGAGGATTGGGAGAATGTCATATGGTCAGATTAAACCAAAATATAACTTTTTGGTAAAAAGTCAACTCGTCGTGTTTGGAGGACAAAGAATGCTGAGTTGCATCCAAAGAACACCATACCTACTGTGAAGCATGGGGGTGGAGACATCATGCTTTGGGGCTGTTTTTCTGCAAAGGGACCAGGACGACTGATCCGTGTAAAGGAAAGAATGAATGGGGCCATGTATCGTGAGATTTTGAGTGAAAACCTCCTTCCATCAGCAAGGGCATTGAAGATGAAATGTGGCTGGGTCTTTCAGCATGACAATGATCCCAAACACACCGCCCGGGCAACGAAGGAGTGGCTTCGTAAGAAGCATTTCAAGGTCCTGGAGTGGCCTAGCCAGTCACCAGATCTCAACCCCATAGAAAATCTTTGGAGGGAGTTGAAAGTCTGTGTTGCCCAGCGACAGCCCCAAAACATCACTGCTCTAGAGGAGATCTGCATGGAGGAATGGGCCAAAATACCAGCAACAGTGTGTGAAAACCTTGTGAAGACTTACAGAAAACGTTTGACCTGTGTCATTGCCAACAAAGGGTATATAACAAAGTATTGAGAAACTTTTGTTATTGACCAAATACTTATTTTCCACCATAATTTGCAAATAAATTCATTAAAAATCCTACAATGTGATTTTCAGGAAAAAATAAGCTCATTTTGTCTGTCATAGTTGACGTGTACCTATGATGAAAATTACAGGCCTCTCTCATCTTTTTAAGTGGGAGAACTTGCACAATTGGTGGCTGACTAAATACTTTTTTTCCCCACTGTATATATATATATATATATATATATATATATATATCTACAGTGAGGGAAAAAAGTATTTGATCCCCTGCTGATT